TACTGGCCATATAACTGTAATAAAGATGACCAGTAAGCACTTACTGTTACTGTCAGATGGAAACTAAATTATGTGTAAGTTTAATATTTCAGCTAAAATCTTAAAGTTTTACTATCCAGTGGTAAGAAAATGTACAAACACAGACATTAAGTGACCTTTTAAACCCTCAATAATGTATTATTGATAGGCGAGCTACCTAACAACAAGCCCGCTCTCTATGAGGTTGCCACGATATGGTAACAGCTACTTTGAATAAGTAATTTGCAAGACTACAAGGTGCCTGCAATACACAAATAATACAAAAACAAATTCAATTCAACTGTACCCTTAAGAGTATAACATGTTATTGGTTTATTTTCTAACAACTGCATCTTCAAGAAATCTTTGCTTGTATGCTATGCTTCATATACACATCTGGATCTCCGACTGACGGAGAGATTAACAATGCCTTTACCTGGTCCACCTGGTTGTATCTGGCAATGTCCTTGTGCAGGGTTCTCAGCATGATCATGGCAACCATGCCAGACAGGAAGAGGACAATGACCAAGGAGTTCATGATGCTGGACAAACACAGAAGACATACCGTCAACTAACAAGCATTAAGATCCACAGAGTAAAAGGCAGAGAGTGTTTCTGTGGTGCACAGCGTAAAAATTATCTTCATACCTAAACCACTGAATGTTGGTGTGAGGCATGGAGACCAGGATATAGTCCCACCTAGAGGCCCACTTGATTGAATTGTCTTCCTGTAAAAGGAAGTCAGATTATTATAAAATACATGACACACAAAATGTACATAGCATTAATTACTTATAATTAACTATAGAATGCAATTGGTCATATAGATTGGGGACCTACCTCAAATGAAACAGAGTAGGTGTACACTATCGACAAATCATTATCAAACTCCCCAGGGACCTCCATTGGGCTACCTCCTTCACAGCTTGGGTTTTTCTCATCCACTTGTTTGATACTGTTGCACACAAAACACACACAATCCTTCATGTCAGATTACAATATATATATATGGTGTTAGTTCTGGATTGGTGAACATGTTGAGGTAGATTAGACTTAAACTAAAATATTGTGGCATCATATCTATCTACTACCAATCATAATTACCTCTTTGGCTCCAGAGTGGCAGCAACCAGCCGAGCCCCTCTCCATCCTTCTGATGCTCCGCTGTGGTAAGTGATCTTGATGTCCATATGGTTGAAGATGTAAAATGTGTTCTTCTTGTTGAACTCAGACTGAAAAAGAAAAATCGTACTCTTACTCAGGTTCCTCAGGGTAAGATTTGAAAACAAACAAAATCAGTATGCTGTTGAGCATCTTTTATATGGTGATTGTCTAATTCGAAGAATTTTATAATATAGACTTTCAACTTCTCCTTTTATCCAAATTATTATGGCAATTGTAATATTCTGAATCTGTATGACCTGGATCCGTAAATTCTTATAATGACATAGTTTTGGTTACATTAATAACTTCAATAATTAAATTGAAACATTGTTAAATAGTGTATCAATAAGTATCATCAAACGCTCTTTGAGACTTTAAATGACAGTCAATTGTAAATTAAAGCCTACTTTTGTATTCCAACACAAGGATCTTATATGCTCTATAAATACCACAATAAGAACATGTATATATATATATATATATTATAATTGAAGCTATACAGAAAAAGTACACATTCAAAGACAATCACACAATCACAACTCACATTGATAACACAGGCATCTTTAGCTCGGCCATCTGCGGTAACAAGACAGCCAATGGGGAAGCCGGGGTTGCAGTACTTCTGACCATCTTCAACATCATAGCACCAAGTCACCGGCATGTTGTCAATGATCCTGAAAACAAACAAAGAATTGTTTACCTTGACAAGCTTCATCGTAAATAAAGTCTGTGCTCATGTAGGTTTGTTTTCAATTTTGCTTCACTGCTATCAACCATCTGTCAAACAAAACCTCCAGACTACAAATGACTCACAAGTTTAGTATTGCAGTACAATGCAGTATGTGTTTCACTAACCAGTGGTGTTGGTAGTTCAGTTGCATTCCCATCTTAAGAAAATCAAGTTTGGTTTTATCCTGCTGCTCGGCTTTCTTGTAGTTTTTTGTGCACACAGCCTTGCATTTAACATCTTGTTTGAAGTTGAACTGAGAAAGGCAAATGAAAGTCATGTTGCATTAACAGAATAAATTAAACAAGGGGAACTTGTACGGAATCTAAAATTGTCAACACCATAAATGCAGGCTTAGATTTCGTGGTTAACACCCACCTTGTATGGTGAAGACTCGATTCGTTCACCAAACAGAACCTGTCCGAGGTTCTCAGAAGGCCTCTTTTCCTTGTCATCTTTGCAAAAGTCAAACCTTTAACACATTTACAGACGGTCACACACAATGAGAAGATGATATTGACCTGGAACACATATAACCAGACATTACAGAAATGGCATTGGGGAGAGACTAAATGTTACTTACACATCATACTCGTAAGGCAGGACTGACTCCACTGAGTCCAAGCGATTGACAAACAGCTGTATCACTGTCTGAAAAGAGGTAAAACAGTTTTTTCTGTGAAACCAAGCTTGCCAAACATACAGGCCAGACGGGTTGTCCATGTTTCAGGTCCATTCATACAACTAATATTAACACAAGGAGTGAATGACTCAGTTTCAGTTTGTTACATTTGCTCGGTCTCTAAAAGGGGTGAATAACTGACTTTATCGCAACATCTCGGCCAGTCCAAACTAACCTGTTCTGTCCAGGATGTGAACACAGAACAATGAAGACTATTATGTGTCAGAATACATTATATGAAACACTGTTAATGTGCCAGCAGTCTTAAGCGAGGCTACTGTGGAAAACCGACCCCTCGGAAATGCAATGACAGCGAGTTCCAACACATACAATTAACAATTCATCATATTATGCCAGTCCTCCTGTTCCAGGTAGTAGCCGGGGCCTAAGGACAGGGCTGGCTAGCTAGCAACGACTAAGGAAGATAGCAAATTGAAATGAGTATACCAACTCCAGCTACAGCTATAGCTAAATCCACTAACATTACTGTACATAATAATTGACAACCTTATGAGTTCACCATACCTGGCAGTCGTCACCACCTTTGCCGTCTTCACAAAAACTCACAGGGGCTAAACCCGGAAGATAAAACGCCGAGCATAAACAGAAATACGAGACTAGCGAATAAACCAGCACAAAACTAAAGTGTATCCGCCTCTTCATTTTATCGCGGACACGGTTCTTCCAAGATTTTGTATACTTATGTCAAAAGAGAGAGTTCCTTCTCCCAAGGAAAGGTAATGATTGCTCGCTGTACACTGTTAGCTAGCTAGGTCTTTCAGCTCGAGACGCAGAGGCTGAGCTGTCTGCATCTGTGACGTCAAGCTCCGTCAAGCTCCGCGGAAGCCACAGGATTACCACCGGAAGTTAAATTGTACCTTCAAAATAAATACGTCTGATAAGTCATCTACTTAGTATATAGGATTTATACATTTATACGTGGTTTAGATATACCGATTGCCTCTATTGTTCAATATCTTTGAATAAATACGACAAATAAACAGTTGAATCATCTAAACTGGGCATCACGTATGTAGCCAGTAGTTTAAGTTGAAAGGAGAAAAATCGGATGTCGTATTTTCTCCTGAGCGACTTGACACCGTGGAAGTGTCTGACGTTGCTTACTGATTCCGCCATACACATCCTTGTTTCCTTCACAAGGACGAGACTGTGCTTAACAGCGCTAATACGTTTGAAAAACGCTTCATGGAAGAATATCGTATGAAAGACTATGGTTGTGGTTTAGTATACGAGAGAAACAAGGGGGTAAACTACATTCAGATAGTAGTAAAAGAGTAAAAGAGGTCAGACCAGAAAAACCGGAACGGGTTCATTCCGTCTGCAAACATCTTTAGATGTGACTTAAAGAAGGCTACTAATCCAAATAACAAACAAACAAACATTCCTACGCAAATGACGCACAAGAACATGTATGGTTTGATGGGTAATCTCATTGGTGTTAACTATGGGCCAACATAAACAGATACCAGAAGGCCTGTAGTATCTGTCTCCTAACTATTTGCCTGTGAGGCTCTGTGTGTGTGTGGTGTGTGGTTTTGAGTAGCCTTACTTTACCAGGTGTCCCTGTGTCTGTGGACAGATGTATTTATTTAAAGCACTTTCTTAAGCCCCATTTGATACTGTTCACTTCTCCTAAAAAAAAACCGTACCAAACTGATACTGCTGAATTGGTTTGACACTCTTGGATACCACGATACTGCATTTTTCACATGCACCTAATCTATAACTGGGTTAGGTCCTCACATGTCCCCTCTGTACGAGAGAAATGTAGGTATGCTATAATGTTATTTCCATTTGACCTATGTAGCTGTATAAGGCGGCTCAAGCATCTGTCTCAAGAAAGAACCAGACTAAAGGTCAGGTTGAGAGAAGGAAGACACAGTCAGTGAGCCAACCAGACTGAGATTAAGGAAACAATGGATTAGAAATATTTTAATAAAACCTTCTGATGATCTGTGTGATTGTGTCTCTCCAAAATAGTAACCCATACTGGATACTTTTGGTCTGCAACAAACCAATGAGCCCTGGTAGGCTAAAAATACTTATACTATACACATGATGTACATTGTTTAGTTTATTGTTACTTCCTTTGGATGTTTGACAATCACAAGGCAAAAATATACTAGTTATATACTGTTAATGTACAGAATAGACTCTTTTTTATCTGTTGGGGAAAAGTGTATGTGAAATCACAGCCTCTCTCTTCCACAGTGTTTTTTATTATTTTTTTTACGTGTTTTATAACTGGAGGGGGTTATTTAAGTAGAGAATCGTTTTGAAAATAGAAAAAAAAAAAAAAAAAAACCTATTACAGTTTAGTAACAGTAGGTGGCAGCGTTACACCGCGGGGTGTCTGCTGTGCCGGAAACAGAGGGGAGGAAGAAGGAAGGGGAGTGGGACTGTCGTTTACAGTCGCTTTCACGAAGTCGCGGCATTTTGGCAGAGTGCTATGTGGTAGCTGCTAGCTGCGAGCCTGTACACTTCATATAGTCATATTAGTGTTGTGTTTTATGTTTTTAAAGTAGCGTGTTGGTATTTTGTAAAGCTCGGGCACCCGGCTAAAAGCGTGAATACTTGCTCGCCAGCGTTAGCGAAGTAACTACCTAGCTAGCCACAATCGCTGGCACGTTTATCGCCATTTTGCGCATTCAACAGCCCAAGACTTTCGCCAGCAGCAAGGTATTGTTAATCTCCACGGATATGTCTGAATACTGAGGCCGAATACACCGTTATGTAGTTGTTTGCAAATGTGTTAAGTTCCTATAACTATATACGACCCGTCTTTGGTTGCAGGTGGTGGATTTTGCAGCATGGCGGAGGCAGACCGACCAGGGAAGCTCTTTATCGGTGGGCTGAACACCGAGACTACCGAGAAGGCCCTGGAGCAGTACTTCAGCAAATATGGCAGGATTGTCGAAGGTGAGAATGAAGCCACTGTTTATTTTAACCTTAAACATGCAATACTGTGACGTATTTAAAAATGTCAAGTGTTTGCTGTTTCGGTTTTTTAATGCTTATCAAACGCGTGTGTCCTAATTTGGATGTAATTGCAAAGGCATCAAATGTTAGGGTTTTTGTGATATTTGTGGGGTATTGTGAATTGCATTACAAAGTCATTTCCTGCATTTGTTTTTGGAAATCTCAATTTTCTGGCATAGAATCTGTAAAATGTCATTTTTTGTTACTTTGATTGTGAATACCCAGCTAATTTTCCCCTTTACTTCAGCCCCCATTTTCTCTTCACTTAACACAAAGCCTATTCTGAGCTACTGTTATTGCAAACGACCTTGTTTACTGTAAAATTAAGTTTCATTTTGCAGCAGGAAATGAGAAAACCATTGAACCCCGAAGCGGACGCATTGGTTCAAACCAAATAATGGTTGTAGTTAGTAAAATGGGGGTAGTAATCAGAGCATGCGTTTGTCCAATCTAAACTATATTCATTTTGTCAGACAATAATGTAATCAGTCTGTTAGCACAAGCTCTCTTCTCACTCTGTTTTCTCTTCAGTTCTTTTGATGAAGGACCGTGAAACAAACAAATCAAGAGGCTTCGCTTTTGTTACTTTTGAAAGTCCAGCTGATGCAAAGGATGCAGCGCGTGAGATGAATGGAAAGGTAAGTACTCTTTCTAATCAGCTGTAATCTTATAAACGTCTGCTTGAAGTTGTGATTGCAATTGTAACTCCTCTACCGCAGTCTCTTGATGGCAAACCTATCAAAGTGGAGCAAGCTACAAAGCCTCAGTTTGAGAGTGCTGGCAGGCGAGGACCTCCACCCATGCACTCACGCAGTCGCGGTCCACCCAGAGGCCCTCGTGGATCCAGGGGAGGTATGAGGGGTCCACCATCCAGAGGTAAGTTATTAATTTATTTGGTACTTGGAGTTTGTAAAATAAGAGTGTATAGTAAGATATTTTAATTGAATATATATATTTTTTAATGCATCTTTTGAATTTGGTGTGTTAATATTTGCATTTCTTGTCTGTTAAAAGACTATTACGATAATTCGGGGAGTGGAGATACCTTCTTTAAAGGGATTTCATCCAGAGGCCCCCCTCCGATGAAAAGAGGACCCCCAGTTCGTAACGGAGGTCCTCCGCCCAAAAGGTCTGCCCCATCTGGTCCCATGAGCAGACGTGAGTGTGAGGAAACTTTGTTTTTACATATCACAATTTACATGCAATGTGTGCAAGTAATTAAATGTACTGCCAGGACACCCAGCATGAAATTCTGAATTCTCTTTTTTAGATTTGGGTGTGTAGACTTTATCGTCATCAATATTCACATATCTATCTCAGGGTTATTTTTTGATTAATGATCCAGTTTGTCATATTTTGTTCCAGCCCCCATGTCAAGGGACAGAGATCCCTATGGTCCACCCCCTCCTCGCAGAGATTCCATGATGTCCAGGAGGGATGATTATCCATCACCAAGAGATGACCATTACAATTCAAAAGACAGGTAGGTCCTCTCATATTGAATGACATTGTACATTTGTGCGAAACTACTTGCAAAAAGTAAACTTTTAGTATTTTAAATGGCTGTTTCTGACATTGTCTTGCTATACAAAAACTGTGACAAAAAGTTTTATTAACTTTATAGAAATAAAACAAATTAAATGAGGGTTTGTAAAGAAATATTTTAATCCATATTAAGATGTATGATCCAAAATTCAGATGTTATTCTGCTCAAATCTCCATCCAATCAGTCTGAAATTGAGTATATTATAATTTTGACAGACAAGTATTTTGAGTTTTTGTTGCTTACCGTGTAAAATATTTAACATATAATGGTTACAGGTCTGCAGTTAACAGTGCTATGTTTCACAGCTACTCCAGTCGGGATTATAATTCTAGAGATTCGAGGGACTATGGACCTCCTCCCAGAGATTATTCATACAGAGAATACACCAATTCCAGTTCCCGAGATGATTATGGCTCAATGTCAAGAGGATACAGGTATGAGTAGGTTGATACAAAATGTTTAAAAACTGAGATCAGATCTCACCTGGTCATCAGCTAACAATTGTTTGTATTATTTAGTGACCGCGACAGTTATGGGGGAGGCCGGGAACCCAGAAGCTATATGGACCGTCCAAGCGGTGGCTCCTACAGAGATTCCTATGATGGTTACGGTAAGACGTGACTCCATTTGTGTTTTGCCAACAGATGACCACTGTGGCACAAAGACGAGCTGCACAAATCACCAACCAAACCACAGCATTGACTACCGCAATCTCCAGTCAAAAGATGCTGCAGTTTTCCCCTCCCCAGAGGAAACAGCATTCCTTAAGCTTTTCTCTTTCCCCTTGCGGCAACCCTGACCTGCAATCTAAGTTTTCAGAAATATATAACCATTGGCATCTCAACTGAAAAGCTTATTGTGTCCACATATCACAGTTCATATTACCTCTGCATTCAGCAAAAGAATCAATGTTTGTCATGCAGAAATAACAGAATAACAATAAATAATGTGCCCACGAGAGTTTGCAACCATAAGGAACCCCAAAAAGCCCATGGAAACATCCGTTGACCACTCAGTATGTGTTGCCTAGCAAAGCGCTCCCTCAAGGAGTAACGTCCAATAAACCATCAAGAAAACTCAGAAAACCTCGTCCTTACCTGCAGTTCTAACACTTGGAGCTCTAAAAGGAAAAATGGCTACTCAGATCAATGGCATGCTGAAATGGGTAACACTGCCCACTTATTCCCTGTGCTTGGATGTGTTACTGCCCATACCAACTAAATATCCATGTTAAATTTTAGATCCATTACATGATGGCACATTTAAACATGTCGCCCATTAAATTTATTTGTCACAGAATTAATTCTATTGGCAAAAAATGAGCACTTCACAGTGCAAGAAAATGTATAAATTGAACCTTGCCAATTACCTGACCCATTGACCCTGCAGGTAACTCTCGCAGCGCCCCACCCTCACGGGGCCCCCCACCATCCTATGGTGGGAGCAGTGGAAGCAGTCGTTACGATGACTATGGCAGCAGTTCCCGGGATGGCTATGGCAGTCGTGACAGTTACCCCAGCAGTCGGAGTGACCAATATCCACCTAGCCGTGGAGAGCGAATGGGCAGGCAGGAGAGGGGCCCAGCTCCCCCTGTCGAGAGAGGCTACCCTCCTCGTGATTCGTACAGCAGCTCAAGTCGTGGAGGGCCACGTGGTGGCCGTGGTGGCAATCGTCCCGATAGAGGAATGGCTCGCAGCAGATACTGAACTGGACTTGGAAATCACATTAAAGCAAACGTTGGTCTCCGCTCACAGTTAACAAGTGTTTTGGAAAGAAAGCTGACAAGACAGACTAGCCATGTCTAAATCTGTGGAATATAAACCTTAGCTTTGAACTGTATCTTGACTTTCCCAGTTTTTTATGTGTAAGAATTTTTGTTTTTTTTAGTATTTCTCTTGCTCATGTAACAGTACAGTTACCAAGTGAGTGTTAGTTTTTGTACATTCAGTGCTGTTGGAATCTGCAATGCCCTATAAGTCTGGCTTTCCTACTCTAATAAAGCTTTTAGTTGTACCTTGACCACTGCTCATCGATTTTCAAATCAAGACCAGAGACGCTACCATGAATGCTGAGTAACAACATGATCTCCTTTTTTACAAAGTTTTCTGTAAAGCTTAGGTGAGTCTCTGCTCGTGCTATACAGTATAGTCGAGTGACTAAGTTCATTCTTAACACAATGTGCCATCAACTGGACGCTACTGTTTTCAAGCGTTAGGCAAATGTTACTGTCAAAATGTTCCAATGTAGTTTCCTTGGAAATGGATCCATCACCCTAGAGCCTTTTGATGGCATGCAACGACAAAACCAAAGGCAACAACAACCAAATGCAACTCGACTGGTAGTCAACAGCTGGTAAGCAAAGCAAACCTCTTTGTTTCTCATCTGTAAATGAGTTTCTCATTGTCCTGTATTGCAATCTGCCCTCAAAGGGGGGGGGTGATATTCAAGACAACTTTTGCCTCAGAGCAGAGGACAAAAGAGAAAAGGAGGTCAACTGAATGTGCCCTTTTCATTGTAGTCCGTTTTCATCAGCTAAAATTGTCAAAAGTGCAGCAACATCCCAAGAAGTTTCGTCCCTTTTCCGCAATGAAAGTTTTTTGCCAACTGAGCCCTCAAAACGATGATCCTTTTTGCCCAACCAATCGTCCAACCTCCAGTAAAATGATTGGCAACAGTGCATTTTTAAATAATGGGTAAAGATGGCTAAGTATTGGTAAGATTTTTTTTTTCTCGGTAAAAATTTAAAAGCCATTTTTAAATTACCAATGAGCCGTTTTCTCAGTATCAAAACAAGCATGCCAATTCAAACAATGGAGACCTTTGGAAGAACACGATCGTCCTAACGGCCCAACTGGACACAATCGCTGAAGCAAATTCGCAGTCGGACCAAAATCATGCTACAAAATCATTTTCAGATGTCTTATGAATACATGAATACATGATTAAGAGAAGGACAACATGTTAATACTATGTTCTCATTGCAGGATGACCCCTCCAAGGCAACTGCCCTTGCAACTTACCTGAATTGTGTGTCCTGAAGGTGTTGGACCAATGAAACCACAGAGCAGTGCACCAGATACGTTCACCAGACTAACCTTAGTAAGTGTGGGCGATGACGAGTATCGGTTACAATATGGAGGTTCTTTGCAAAATAAATGTACATTTCTTTCGCACTCAAAACATGAAGTAACTTAAGGCTGCCGTATAATGGATTTGTGCTGCTGTAAAATGAAAACTGCTGATATATAATCAGTTATTTTTCACATTCACTGTCTTTCAGATGCTGGCACAGGCTGCTGCTGAGAAGGCTGGTTGAATCCTTTTCAAGTGGAAGTACGTGTTGAAGTGGGAAGAACACAGGCTTGAGGATTTGTTCAAATTCCTATTTCTTATCATTTTATGGCGTTTTCAATAAAGACTTTAAGAAGATCTTGGTCATTTTCTCAGTTTTGTCTTATTAAAGGAAATGGCACAATTCTCCCCTGAACTGGTTATTGATGTATCTTTAAAATGGGGCTGTGGTACCTGGTTACAGTTCATTGTGACTCTGGAGTATTTGAGTATTTATTTTCTAATAGTTATAAATAAGCATGCACCATGATTTACTTTGACTTGACTATTTTTATTTCTATATATTGAGACATTTGTGATTTCCTCCTGCAAATATCCCAATCCCATCAACATAAACAGCAAAAGTCCTACAACTTAAATTGCTGTGTCAGGAAACTTGAGCATGGCCCATCTCGATCACATCTCAAACTGCAGGTAGATACTATGAGTCAGTAATAATGATAACCCTTGATAGTGTATGTTAGCAGACCACATGCCCCGAGTTATTCCTACAGGAAGTGGTACTTTCTGGCGTTGCGAAATATGCTGATGCAAATCAGATATCAGTTCCCTGCTGGTGTTTCTGATCCTTACTGCATTTTAACTCGTAATACAATACGGGAGAGAAAGTGCCCTCTGCCAGCATGTGCTACTTTGCAGTGGAAAAAAATCCTCCTGTGTATTGTTGAGGTGCCTATTTGCCAGTAGGGGTGATCATCAGTTTTGCGTATAGAAACAGCGTCGTCCTTCCCCCCACCGCCTTTTTTTAACTTCTAGCAGAAGTGCGGATGTGAGTTGCATATTGATACGGAACAGGCCGCCAGTTTTTTTTTTTTTTTTTTGTAGCAATGCGTGCTTAGGCAATGATCATTTTGTGGAGCTATGAATCCAGAGGAGCAGACAGTAACGTGGTTAATATCCCTAGGAGTGCTCAGCTCGCCTAAAAAGAACATAGCGGACCCCGAGGAGTTTCTGAAAACATCGTTAAAGGATGGGGTCGTCTTGTGCAAGCTCACGGAGCGGCTCATACCTGGCTTCACTCCCAAGGTGAGTTGTTGATTTAAGTTTAACACAAGTAAACAAACGCCAATTGATCGACGGCTCCCGTGAAAGGGAAAGGAAAGGAAGGGAGGGGTTTGATTAAACTGATCCCGACATGAACTTCTCTCAGCAGCAGGCCTTTCCTTTTTTTTTTTTTTTTTGTGTTAGTCGCTCCCGGCACTCGAGCCTTGAACTTTTAGTCGCCATCGGCTTTGTATAAATCGTAATGCATCGACATGACCGCTGCATTTAGTGTACTTTACAGACGTGAGATTTCAAGATGTGGTTTCCTGTGAAGCGAGGAAAATGTTCCGCATTCTTCATATGAGTGAGACGGCGTGAACACCCACCAAACAGGGCAAAGTCGGCAGCGAAGAGTGCGTGAAACATTGAACTGTAGGCCATGTTGGAGAGATCAGTCGTGTGGGTGGCGTTGGGCACTTGTTAAACAACTTTTGACGTGATAAGTCAGCGTTAATAACATGTTAGGCTTTGGTTGTTGAGATGACAAAGTTGATAATGATAAACAACAGTTGCAAAGGCAGTTCGTCACTTCCTCCTGCAAACCTCGGCTCTTCCCGGTGCGACCGCCCCCTTTTTGAAGAAAGAGGCGTCAGTGCAACTGGAAACAGTAACGAGAATAAAACCGGAAGTAGTAACTTCTCTCTTGTGTTATTTATTGTCCTATCGTGTGTGGGGTTTTTTTGTGTGTGTGTCTCTTTCTGTTTGGCTCCTATACATTTCTCTACAAAACAACAGTCTGGACTTCACTTACGGAAGAGCCAAACGTATCCTCCATTTTCATTTTCGAACGTTGGCACCGCGGCGGTTGGTGCGACTTTTATTTTGAAAGTTTGAAAAGTGAGCGGATGTTTTGCTTAAAATCTGGCTACTTTGACGCGTATGTGCTTGTTAATTGTTATGTATGCATGGAGGAGACGCAGGGAAGAATCCACAGTTATTCTGTGAACTGTAGGTTGCCACATTTGGACAACAGTGTTACTTTTGTTGTCGCTTTTATACGTGGCGCTGGCTGACATGGCAGTAGCATCGGCGCTATATAACTGTTAAGTGCTTGTGTCAGATGTCTGTCTGTCATACTAAGCCGAGGTCTGTGTTTATATTTCGTGTGTGTGTGTGTGTGTGTGTGTGTGTGTGGCTCAGTATTGCCAGGAACCGAGGACTGAAGCCGACTGCCTTTCCAACATCAGGGAGTTTTTAAGAGGATGCTCGACCCTGAAAGTGGAGGTAAGTTGTATCCGTCCAAGTTTAATGTACAGACATGGCCTGACCTCTCGCTTCATTATCTCCTTACTTAGCCCTCTCAGCCCCACTGCAGTTTTCAGAGAAGATTTAAAAGTCACTCTTTGCTTTTGTTGTGATGTGCTTATATGTTTTCCTCACATGTGTTGGCTTGTCTGTCACTCCCACTGACCAGACAGAAATGGGAACTGTTCTTATGACTTGTGCCTCAGTTTCTAAATGGCTACAACTAAGTATTCAACAGTATTTACTTCCTTCTAAATTCCCTTTCTCTTTCATGCTGCAGTGACAGGTTAAAAACTCTCCTCTGTATGCACACTGCAGGCTGTGCGGCTGAAAAAGATGTTCTAATATTGGAACGGGGCAAATGATTTGCAGATGTTGGGAGTTTTCTCTGTCTCTACCAGCCTGTGTGTGACTACCACACTGGACAGTCATTTCTCCTCCAGCTTTATAAATAATCCTTTCTGGGCTTGAATCACATCAGTTGGGTTCTTTAAACAGCTAATTGAGTCAGCAAGCCTGGCTCACTGCAAAGTAAAGTGGTTCAGTAGTTCTGCCCAGCTGGGTTGTTATGTCTTGGGAGGTCCCCCTTTGCTTTTATCCGCTAACCCTGCCTCAGCCCATAATTAGACCTTTTGCGGCCAGCCAGTAGCTCATGGGCAGAAGGCTCTGAAGGAGGGGAGCCACTGTCGTATGTATCATCATGTATAGGCCGAAGGATGTCTGTGGCGCTACAGCGAGCCCTACCCATCCTTTTGGTCAGTGATGTGATCATGGGTAGAGAACTTTTTCTCTCTTTTTTTGCCATTGCAAATAGTGCCCGTTTGTCCTGTGACTACACAAAGAGAGCAGTCATACTGCTTTCACTTCTGCCCTGAGATGCAGAAAGAGGAACTGCCAATTATGGCTCAAAGCCTCAGATTTTTTTTGCTGGGTTATAGACTGCGTGAGATGATTTATTTGGCCTGATTGATGAAACAACTGACCCTAACCATGGTCTAGATCTCAAAACTGGCACCCGATCAAGGTCGATAATGTGATGTAAGACCCATTTACTCCATTTCTTTTCATCAGTCCATGGGTTTTTCCAGTACTTATTTTTTAAACCAGTGTTACAAAATCATTTGCCTATAGCTAACTATTTATAACTAGCTACTTTTTTTTTTTCATGATGAAAAGCAAGCTGGGTAAATCTTGGTTGTCATATAGACCCCTAGGCTGATCACTTATCTAGAGATGTAATGGTCACACTTGCTTTAACTCTGAATGAGGTTGTACACAACTCATGACCACGGCTGTACTACTCAAACTCTGTATTTAAGATGTTTTATTTAATATGTGAAACCTTATCCACTGGAGGAAAGAAGATAGCTGTCTGAGACAGAGCGAGCAAGCAGTGTGACTTTGTGTGTGTGTGTGTGTGTGTGTGTGTGTGTGTGTGTGTGTGTGTGTGTGTGTGTGTGTGTGTGTGTGTGTGTACGCGCGTGCGCAAATGCACAGTGAATCGCAAATGAGTCTGGCACTGTCTGTTTTATTATAAACCACTAAGTCATAAAATATGGGTCATGCTCAACATGTCGGTTTTTATCTCTGTCTTGTTATAGGCTTATTCAAATCCCTGTGTGCGTTTCATAGTGTGTCTTTCTATTGTTTCTGCTGCAGCCCAGAATGAGTCTCTCTCTCTGTCTGTGTACACTTAACAAGAAAAACATAGTAGTAGAAAAAGTTTTTAATTATGACTTTCCCTCCTTCCACTTCTGATGGATTCCAGGTTAGATGCACAGATGGTTTTATGGTTTTGGGGTTTTGTGTTTGGTCTGATATCATATTCTCTGTTCCTTTTCCATCCAGGGGTTTGAACCAGAGTGGTTATACACTGGCGAGAATTTTGGCAAGGTACTGACCACTTTGCTGGCAGTCAACTTCGCCACACAAGGTAAGAGTTTCTCTCTCTATCTCCAGTCTTCCATACTGGGTACTGCTTGATCATATTTTGTCCTCTCTGAAAGTAAAGAATCAAAGAGTAGTGGGTGGTTTTTAGTCTGTTTTTACATTACAGTATCCTGATGTGTTAAAGAAACTGAAGCATCTAATGTCACAAAAAAAACCTGAATTCACTGAAAGCCTGTATATTATTGTAACTACTGCACAAAATTCCTTTTCAGTGTTTATCCATCACTTGTCACTTCACGCAAACATTCCAGTAAACAAGCTTATATAATGAATAAACATTACATGTAGCTTCATATTAGAAGTGGCCAGCTGATGCATTTTGCCCTGTGTATGTTCTATGACGGTGGTCTTACACAGAGTTTGACCATGCAGCCGTTCAAAATCATGATTCGGGTGTGTTACCCATGGGCAGCTGGCATAGCAGTGTGTGTTTGTGTCACGCTGGGTGCCATATTTACTCATGTGCATCCATAGCGCGATAAACCCTGAACAATATCCTCTTTTTTTTTCATTTTATGTATTTTTTTTTTTTATATATTCAGATTACGTTGACAGTGAAGCGAATTGCATTATGTGACTGCGTATGAGTGTATCACTTTTAGACACACACACAGCCCCTTCACCAAGTGCATTTCTTTAATAAGGACGCAGCATAAAATGGTTCACAGTGCAGCAGCCCATCAGCAGTTTGGGGCTAATTGCTGCACTCGAGAGTCCTTGTTTGTGGGCGCTGGAGAAGTCTCCCTCCAGTTTCCAGCTCACAGCTGCCAGAGAACCAGCAGCCTTACAATTATTAAGTCAGCGTTTGTCTGTGTGCTTTATAATAAATGCATAATCTTCCAGGCTATTTGAGTTTGTGACATTACTGTAAACAGTGTAATGGATATGTGCCTTACATTGTACCTGAATGACAGTAAGGATGAAGCATAATGCTGCAGCTAAAGATTATTTTCATTACTGATTATTCTGTTGATCATGTTTCTGATTAACTGATCAGTCTACAAATGTCAGAATCTTCAGTTTGGGCGACGTCTTCAAACAGGGCAAAACCGAGATATTCAATTTACAATGATAGCAGCAACATGTTTGGCATTTTTGCTTGATAAATGACTTAAATGATTCATTTATTATCATTGTCTTTTGACCCGTTATTTAATCAGCTAATTGTTTCAACACTTTGTGATAATACCCTCCTTTGGGGTTTTGTTACACTTGCTGTAACTATGTTAATACATGATCAATCCCTTGGATCCACTTAAATGAAGGGGAGGATGAGTGCCACAGTGTGAGATAGGGACCAGAAGCCTCTGTCAGTTCTGGGCTCTGCTTGATATGCAAATCTTCTATGGGCTGGCTATGCCCAGCAGCTGTTCTCCCGTCTTCAAAAGTGAACTTGATTTGCAGTGGATTAGTCACAAGTTTGTTGATATGATCAAACATAAGAGGCCTCTGTGTTTTTACTCGTGATGCTCTTCCAAGCTTAGCTTATGTGTTTCTTTGCTCAGCATTTAAGTTTGTTTAGGGTAAATGCTTCTGAACATTGCCTGCATTCAAAAATAACAGCGCTAACCACCAAGCTTAGCTGACAGAAGGGCTTGCTCGGCTTCTCTGTGTGCGTGTGGAGTGGCATGTGGGATCCGTGAGCCCCACCTGCAGTACATGTGGACTGTCCCACTGCCTTCAGTGTCCTTTATATCATACCAGTTAATCCTCAGTGTGATGAACCCTGATGTCTAGGCATATGGAAAACAGTGGGGAATCTCCAGCCTTCTTCCATCTTAACATACATTACATTAGGTTCCAGATGATATGCTGATAAAACAAGATTACATAAATAATGATACCAAAGCACATTTTACTGCCTGTAAGTGAAAGTGCACCAAAGCATTTGTCACTTTTATAGCCTGCCCCTTATTGGATCTGAATAAGAGGTTACTAAAGCTGAAGGTGCACTCTTAATTATTTTTGATTCCTCTGTAATTTGCGCAAGGATTAGACAGTGGGCCTGGCTAGCATCCAGCTGGCATTTGATAGGGGAGTCTTCCGTTAGTGTCTTTCTGCTTGTTAGCCCGTAAAGAGGCTGCATAGCAGCCATGTGTCACTTTTCAAGTGAGTAATGGCAACACAATTGATACCTCTGTCAGTGCATCTCAAGGACTGCACTCACATTGCAGGACAGCTGGCAGCTAGTGACCCTAAATCACTGTTTGTCTGCTGCAGTGGCTCAGTGATGACACTCGAGGGGTTGGGTGTCAGTAACACAAATTGGATTTATAAGAGACAGGGTTGGAGGAAATGTGTGTTAAATGTGTGTCAATTAGTCAAAATAAACATAATTGCTGAACCACAATACACATAGACAGTATGAGCGATCACTGACATATATTTATATTATAATCTTAAAACTGCATGTTCCTGTGCTTTTCACAGCCGCTTGATCTTATTTGGGAGCTGTGTGCCACTTTTGGTTAAATCGCATTATTCTATCAGGCATTGTAAATGTGTAGCCTGTGTGTGTCCTGTGGCTGCGCAGAGCAGTGGACCATACTCACATGAATTATCATCAACTTGTCATCCCCCGAAGTGTGTGTGTGTGTGTGTGTGTGTGTGTGTGTGTGTGTGTGTGTGTGTGTGTGTGTGTGTGTGTGTGTGTGTGTGTGTGTGTGTGTGTGTGTGTGTGTGTGTGTGTGTGTGTGTGTGTGTGTGTGTGTGTGTGTGTGTGTGTGTGTGTGTGTGTGTGTGTTTTCAAGGTGAAGTTATGTTGTTCACCTGATGAGAACAAGACCAGGGAGTCCCAAGTTCAAACATTGATGTATGCGAAATAACAGAAGCTCCACGTTTGCTCTGTGTGTGTCCATAGACTGTGCTGCTGAGAGGTCATGTACGCAGTCCGGTGCCTCCTCTCCTAGTCAGTCGACATCTTCACACACACTTGCCAAATCCAAAGGCTCTCTGCGTAGGCAGTCCAAATCAGTGGTATGATCTCTTTTTACTTTCTCTGCCTTTCTCTTGTCTACTCATTCCACATTTTGCACATTGATACATTTGATATTGACTTTGTTAGTAGTTGTTTACCCCAGATGACTACACATCGCACTCCCTTGCACAACTAAGAAATAATTACACCAAGAGAAGCTCAAATCATTTCATACTGTAGCCAGATTTAAAGACAAAATATGCAAGTCAAAGATTGGGTGAATATTTTTTCTGTGCACATCTATACAGAACTTTTTGCTGACACATCCATGAGATTTGTGTTTGTGTTGCTGACTGTCTCTGACAACCTCTCTAACAGGAGATGTCTGAGAACGGTGGAGGTGGGCAGCAGATGGTGAAGGCCCGCTTCAACTTCAAGCAGAACAATGAGGATGAGCTGTCCTTCAATAAAGGTGACATGATCCTGGTGACGCGGCAGGAGGAGGGAGGATGGTGGGAGGGGTCGCTCAATGGCAAAACGGGCTGGTTCCCCAGTAACTACGTCCGGGAGATCAAACCCTGCGGTGAGTTGGGCCACCATTCCTGTGTGTGTGTGTGTGTGTGTGTGTGTGTGTGTGTGTGTGTGTGTGTGTGTGTGTGTGTGTGTGTGTGTGTGTGTGTGTGTGTGTGTGTGTGTGTGTGTGTGTGTGTGTGTGTGTGTGTGTGTGTGTGTGTGTGTGTGTATATGTATACTATAAACATATATCATACAAAATGCACATTTAGCTAAACTTGCATGGTAACTTGCACCTTATTTTGGAAGTGTATGGTGTAGTAGATTAGAATGTTGCTGTGGCATTGTTCTGTTTACATTTTTTTTGATATTATTTGTGTTCCAACCCACCAGTGTAAACACTAATTAACGCTACATAAAATAAGATAATATGAGATAGAAATACTGAGGTCTCTTAAGTCCATTGTTTTTCAGTGGTTCATTGTAATTTGTGTATGTCACTAAAGATATCATCTAAAATTCATTTCGCTGTTAAAACGAATGTCTTTAATTGGATGTTACTTATTTCAGAGAAGGTTATTGTCTGGATATTCAGTATAAATGTTTCCTGATTCTTTACAATGATTATTATCAATTACTTCTGAGAAGCTCTCCAATCTTCATATCTCCTCTACAGAGAAGACAGTGTCTCCTAAAGGAACTCAGCTGACCAAGAACTACTACAGCGTGGTGAGTCAAAATTGTACATATATGTGTATATATATATACACAATATAAACATTTAGAAAAAAATTCTGCATTTTTACGCAGGTCTTGATAATACTTATTGTATCTTAACTGTTTATTGGAGTTGGTCCCAAAAATACAATTAAAATCATCTAGCAGAGTAAATGAGCTAAGATCTGGAAAGTGATGGATTTCAGCAAGTACTCTAACTGGAGTTTTCTTGTTTTTGATGTCAACTTCAAAGTACTCCAAGTAATTTTCCCATTTTAAATAATTCATCAGTAAGGCATCACTTTCTCATTTTTGTGTAAACTAAAAAGAACCAAAGTACTGCTGAAGTATTGTGTACCAATACATCCAGATCTTCCAGTTTTACCTGAAAAATGTTCCTTTACGAAATACTGTTCTTTCCTGGAATCTGAGTAACTAAGTATTCTGCTGATTGTGCTGCGTCTGCAGGTTGTACAGGACATATTGGAACATGAGCGGGAGTTTGTCAAGGAATTGCAAACAGTGCTGAGTTGTTATCTACGACCCCTCCAAACCAGTGACAAGTAAGAGCAATCACAAGTGTGACAGATCCATTAATGGGCAAATAACATCAAAAAGGTCCAGTGTGTAACATTTAGGAGGATCTTTAGGCAGAAATATAATATAATAGGCATAACTATGTTTTTATTAGTGTATAATCAACTGAATATAGGAATCTTTATGTTTTTGTTACTTTAGAATGAGCCTTTTTTATCTTCAGATGCCGCAGGTCACCTTCCATGGAGTTAGCCAAGTTGAACTGCCATGTTTCTACAGTAGCCCAGAGGGGACAAACCAAACACTGGCTGTAGATGAGGGGCATTTCGCACCCACTATAGTTTCTCCTTCACGCTTGGAAGGGGAGGGTGAAGCAAGGGAGTTAGGATCTGCAACTACACAGCTAAATCCTACACACTGGACCGTTCTAAGGCTGAGGGCGATGTGGATTCCCACAGAACTCTCTTTGATTACTATATAAAACATATGACATTTTTTAGAAATAAGTTAATAAATGATATTCTTGAATTTACTGAAATTCTAATAGATGATCATGTTCACGGCACTTTCATATTTCATCATCCATGCCTCCACTTATGCTAAATATGTGTATATTCAGGCTGAGCAGTGCAGACAGCGCCACCTTGTGTGGAAACCTGGAGGAGATCCTCACCTTCCAGCAAGGACTATGTGTGGCTTTAGAGGACTGTACAAAGTAAGTCATGATGAATGTGATCCTTTGTAGTCTGTAGTTTGGACCATGTTTGTTACACCGTCCTGTAGTTGTTCTGTAAGACACAATCAAATGCTTTTACAGGACAGTGCTCACTTACTAAACTCTAAACATTATTATACATTACTGCCAAGTGTTCTGCAAAGCATACTATTCTTAACTTTTTTTTTTTTTTGCAATCACTTCCTTCCCCCCCAGACACATCTTCCTCTTATTTTCTTCATGGTACAAACATCAACTTGCAAAGACTAAAAAATAGGTAATCGATCATAGTGATCATGCAGCCCAATATACATTTCTCAAAGTTACTATCTTTGCACATTTTTATGATCTGAAAAGTCTTCATGTCTTTTGGTGCATTCATTCATGCACTACAATGGAAACTCTGACATACACCGCTACTGAAAACAAAATGGCTGTTTTGGGGGAAGGAAAATGCATTCATACATCTTAGAAGGTATGGTATTCCTTGGAAAATAGCCCGTAGGAATGTGGAGCATGCACAGTCTGAAAATAGTCCTTAAATTCTTAAAATACCTAAAACTATATAATTTAAGCATGACGCTTTCAAACAAAAATCCAGTTTTGTTAAAGAAAGTTAAAGAAATCTTAAGATGTTATAGTTTTGGGGTGTTAGTCTGAGAAATTGTTCTGCAAGGTTTCAAACATGCAAGACTGGTCTTGTTTTGTACCTGTCAGTAAAATATCTTTGACAGGAAAAAACAGATGCCCCGAATAATGGCAGCTTTTCAGTTATTCGGAAATCATCATTACAATCTCAGTGTTTTAACATATCTCTCCTCTTTAGCCAACCCTTGTCTTCTTTCTTCACTCTTTTCACCTCTCTAACCTCCTTTCTGTCTCTCCGACTTTTCAGAGTCTCAGAGGGCCAGCAGCGAGTGGCGGGCTGCTATTTAAACCAGATGTGTCAGATCAAGACCCTGTACATGGCTTACTGTTCCAGCCACCCGTCAACTGTTTGCATCCTCACTGACCACAGGTCAGTCCCTGCACCCAAATCAGCCATTCACTACTATAACATTTATGTCTGATTTTTAAATCATCAAGGTATTTGAGAATTGAGATCAATGGTGCAAATGTATAGCCCTGCCTTCACATGACAACTGTGTTAAGTCATTTAGTCAAAATTTCAGGTTGAGGTTTTCATGCTTTTGATTGATTTTATGTGCCTCATTGTAATGGACTGACTCAACTAATAAAGCTTAAAATCAGTATCAGCTTTATTGGTATGTGTACAGAAACAAGGATTTTAACTCAACGTTTTTTGTTGCTTTCAATGTTACAAAGAGTTCCAGGAGAGTAGAGATAGAAATAACATACATCTAAAAACAATGACAACAAAGCTGAACAAAGAGAGGTCAAAATAAACATGGAACTATTATACAGCTAGCAATAAAACAGTTACATTTCTAGTAAGTGAAAAAAATGGAGTATGTAAATGTATATAAATGTGACAAAACAACATATAACGTCTAATCAAGTGTTTCTGTAAATCGTAGATAATACAAATAATGCAGGTATGGTATTCTTTGGAAAATAGCCTGTAGAAATGTGGAGTGTGCACAGCTGAAAATGGTCCTTAAATTCTTAAAATACCTAAAACTATATAATTTAAGCAAGGGGTCACAAGGGTGAACTGAACTGAGGTGATTTCATGGGTAGAAAATATGGGGAAAAAACAATATTCTGCAACACAAACAATCTTTATTTCACAAAGCTATTTCTTATCTTGGAGTTCTGTATAGTTTTGCCTCTTCAAGCCCCTAAAAGGTATTCAAATGGAAATAGTCTGAAAAGGGAAAATGACTATTTGATGGACATGCACTTTAATGTGTTAAAGGCTCAAAGGTAATAACGGTTTGGAGCGATCAGACTATGCTTGCTTTCTTCTTTTTCACAATAATTTGGGTCACTGCTGTGTGATTTCACAAGCTACGGTGTGATGTTTCTGTTTCTGTTTGTTGATGAGCTGTAGTTTAGCTCTGAACCACAAGGTGTCTCTCCGCTTCCCATCTGTAAATGACCAGGAGGCTAAACCGAGTCAGAGCTGTCACAAAGAGTAACTGTGCTAAAAGTTATCACGTTTTTTAAAAAGCATTATTCTCATTGAGTGGGAGCTGCTGCTAAGTGTGATAATCACTGTGAAATAGCAAAATGGTGTGGTGCTGTTTAAATGGTACAATCTTTAATAATGTAGAAGTGACTATTCAGGTTTGATATTGTGGGCTGCAGATTAAGTTGAATTACACACAGGAAGCCGACTGTTGACAGGATATATGAAGTTGTGGTTATGTTGACAGGCAAGCGAGGCACTTTTTCACTGTAAGCACATTTGCATTCAGTCAGTTGCAGGAACATTTTTTGTGACATTCACATTTACCCAGTGTTACCAGGTAGTGTTGCTACAGGATACTGTATGATTTTAAGTTTTGGATCATGGAAACTCATGAATGGTGTGACATTCAAACCGTGTTTTCAGGTTTGCAATGAGTGTTGCAGTCCAGTTTCAAAAATTGCTGATCTACTTTGTGCTGTCTTTTAAACTTATAAGCCAGCACCATCACAGTTTCCTGAGGTCCTTTCTCACACGCATCACAGGTGTGATACTCTGAATGTTTATCACAGTGTTAGTTACAGCAATGATAAAATCCATTAGAGGCTGGGTTGTTTTACATTTACTATTTAGGAAATATGATATTACTGTACCATGGAAATGAATCTACGTACAGTAAACATGTTGCCATATCTGGAAAAAGTTATGTAGTTTAGCTTTTACTGGATCTAATTTTCTTAAATTAACCCACACAAGTAACACAATGTTGAATAAATTACTCTCTAACATTATGTAGCAGATATGAAAATTGACTGTAAAACCATTATTGTCTGCAAAATACGGGAATACTAGCCCTACTGTGTCTGTGTACCATCTGCAGCCACAGACATATGTAGTGAAAATGATCAACTTTATATTGAAATAAATGTTAAATGTACACTAAATATTAGAAATAAAATCACTAATATTGTTTTTTGTGCTAGCATTAATGGTGTTATGGTACCAGTCCTTGAACCTTGACCTGTAAACTCAGGGTGCTGCTGTGTAACCTGTAGTTTATTCCCTTAGAAATTTGTGTGTGTTTTAACAGTGAGGAGCTAGACAAGTTCATGGAGAGCCAGGGAGCCAGTGCTCCAGGGATCCTGACCCTGACCACCAGTCTCAGTAAGCCCTTCATGAGGCTCGACAAATACCCCACCCTGCTGCAGGAGCTGGAGAGACATGTGGAGGTACAGGAGAAAATAAACACATAATGTCTAAATACATACTGAAATAATAGTGTTTTATACAAAATTCATTCAAAATAATATGCTGTATATTTTATAGTTTAGTCAGCTTTCAGCTATTTAGATTTTGTTGATTTGATTTAACCTTAAAAACGAAATGACTACTGATGTTTGACAATGTATTAAAAACAAAATCTCTGACTTGTTATCTATATCACAGAATACATATTGTGTGTATAGTTGTGTTGCTTTCACACTCAGGGGCTTAATATAGACTGCTATGTTTGATCTGATGTGTTGTTTCTGTTTGCCACAGGAAGCCCACCCAGACTATGTTGACATTGTAAAGGCAACAGCCGCATTTAGGGGCCTAGTGGTAAGTCTGGGACGTCCAGGGGGCTCTGCATGTTTAAACTACCCTCAAACTATATTGTCTTTGCTAATCTCCAGCAGGGATCTGGCTTCCTCTTTTTACATAACAAGGCTTAGTTAAAGAACCTGTAAGCCTCTCATGTGACTTGTCAATTATTGGATTGTAAATGTGCTGGATTTTCTGTTTTTGTTAGTTTATCTATTTATTTCCACAACAAAATTCAAGACTGTTTTTGTTTAAAGGATAAAATATGGCTGAATTAAATCTGAATTTCAAATTTATGCCGGTTTCCTTTATCATAAGCTCTAATATTAATTAACTAACTATTTGTGTAGAGTTTTTATGATGTCACCTTTGTGACACGTAACATAGCAATTCATAATCAAGCACAACTGTGGCGACGGGAAAGAAGAGAAATGAAAGTTGCCGGAGCTTCTTCTCAGCTGCATGTTGCGTGATCGTGTCGTTCCTACAGTGGGTGTGAACTGAAATGCTCTTTCAGAGGAGCTGAAGAAGAAAACGAGCAACCACATTGTACCTGAGCGATCACTTTGAGACACAATTTCCCCAGTATAGTTCCTAGTAAAAATAGATGAAGTGACTCACACGTGTCTCTGCGGCACGGCTGCACAGGAAAGCGGGAAAAAAAGCATCACACAGTACAGACTATTGTAATTTGCAAGTCTCATTTTGCTTTTTGAATGTGTGGTTGGGTGGGCAGGTGCTTAAGAAATGCTGGTTACATTTCATCTGCAGTGCTCCGTCGACCAAATCAGATTTTTGTGTAATGTGCAGTGGAAAATGACAGATGTTGCATTGTCATTTTTCCTGTTTGAAGAGGGAGAGCCCCTGCCTGGCACCTGAAAATGTTCTACTTTATGTTTCAGGTTACTCCATATACCTCTGACAAAGAAGTAAAAAAAAAAAAAAACCACATACACAGTAAATATGGAAGTTAATGCTTACGTTGATAAAGCCATATCCATAATGGGGAAAAAATACCCTGCTGCTCGTTACTCAGTATTTCTATAAGGCAAGAGAGCATGATGTTCAACCAAAAGCTTCCGTAAAATACCATAGTTACCAGTAAGCAAGCACAAATTTCGTGTCACATATTTGATAGAAATGATTAATGAATTGCAAAGTTATTTCCAAAGTAGCCCAAATAAGATGTGTGTATCTCACTGTTTTAATGAATTATGAGGAATTATATTAATTCATTATATTATTTTTGTGTGTGTGTGCATGTTTAGACGCAGTGCCAGGATCTGCGGAAGCGCAAGAACCTGGAGCTCCAGATTTTGTCAGAACCAGTGCGGGCCTGGGAGGGAGACAGCATGAAGAGCCTGGGTCACGTGGCCTACATGTCTCAGGTCCACGTGAAAAACGGATCCAGTGAGGTGAGAGACGTGTCAGGTTTAACACATCCCAGGATCACCAGTCATCAACTAACATCAATTGTAAATTTTTGTGTCCATCTAGTTGTTAGGATTTGGCTGTCTTAGTGAAAGCTGTAGATTAGGGTCCCCTGGGTTCTGTGGGGTCAAAGGGGATAGATAGATAGTAAGAGTAGGGAAATAATAAATAAAAACACTATGTACAAGAGAAAAAACAGTAAGAATCCACAACAACAGATAGCACAAATATTAGCAGCAGCAGTTGCACATGGGTAATAGATTGCACAGTGAATATGGTATGGTATGGAATATTGCACATTGTTATTTTCAACATTATTATTATTATTGATGCCGAGATGGGGGGGGTTACTGGGAGCAGTGTGCTGGTTGTTAAACAGTCTGACAGCAGCAGGAAGGAAGGACCTACGATATCTCTCCTTCACACATTTGGGGTGAAGGAGTCTGTTGCTGAAGGAGCTGCTCAGTGTAGTGATGGTGTCTTGCATGGGGTGGGAGATGGGGATCGTAATAGGAAAACTGTCACAGGATTTGGATGCATTACATAACATTTGTATGTACAGAGAAGACTGTAAGGACTTCTGTGTGTTTCTTTCCCACCTCTAAAAGACTTTGGAATACTTTAACTGTCATTACACATTTAAAAGGCCATGTCCATTTCTCAATGAAGCCAACTACATACATTACCTCCCCTTCTCCACTATAACACATACTAGCAATTAGACATGCAGTTGTCTTAATTGCTCAGTAAAAAATGTTTCTAATTTCAGTCTTCAAATTAAACCCAATCAGACAGCTGCATTGGCCTTCCTTAAATATGCAATAACTTTTATTTCATGAGTCAAAGTGACTCAGTAATCCATCAGATAATCTCTCCACAGCCTGAATCTTTGATATTGGGTCTTTATTTGTCACCTTTTGTTCTAGATTGAGAATGTATGTGGTGTTTGATGCACAGATGGAGGAAGTGTGAACGGGACCTTTAGGCGAAGTGCTCTAATTTTTAGTCTCACTGTTTCGAGTAACGGGTACTGGTGTTAATTTAAATTCGGAAACGTAGCACCCCCTGTCATTATTTAAAACAAATGGGAAGCATTATTCTTTGCCCAAAGGTGTTGTAGGGTTCTAACATCCCATGAACCGTGTGTGTTACAGTGCCATCCTCCTTTTCGCTTTTTCAGTATGCCCCTGAACTGTCAGAACAGAAACCTGTGTAGGACTCTTTCTTGTGTGGTTTCTGTGTAGGGGTCGACTCTGAGTCGGTGGTTGGAAGAAAGCCCAAGATAGACATTTGGATTCAACCTCTTTTAATCACTGCCAACCGCTTTCCAACCACCGTAATAGTTACCATGTTTATTTTGCAGCTCTACCTTCTTATCAGCTCATTTTTTCCATTCATATAGCAATAGCATTGCTTAGCCAACTAATTTCTAATTGCTAACTTGAGATAAGATATTCTAGCATCTGCAATAAAGAGGGTTTCACATCCAGCTTGTTGAACGGGTTCAGCTGCAGATAACTTCCTTTTGGGGATGCACAATATGCACATTTTTGTATTTTAAAAATAAGTTCATAACCAGTAGAATATGCAAAGTATGGACCCTGTCCTTCTGACCTGAAGGGAGAATCAAATGCCTGAAAGACAGGATGGTTTGCATAAATGGATCCTGCTGTCCTCAAGACCTGGTGATAAAATCTAACCAGGAGGACTGCTGCTTTCCAATGATCTTGCTGTCCACCTTGATAATATTACCCAGTCTTTTTTTGTCTTGTCCATTAAGACCGCCATACCAGGACTCTAGTGAAAAGGTTCAAACTGACTCAGTGAAAGATGTATAAAACAGCACCATCAATTTATGGTCAACATCAAAGACTTTAAGCCTCCATAGGAAAAAATCTTGGCTGGTCTAAATCACTTCTTAAAACGTATCCCTTTTTTTTTTTTTTTTTTTTAAAAGCCTGTTTTTTATTCTTAATGTCTCATTTCTATTACTACTATTGCACACCTGAGGGTAAGACAAGCTAATATGTAGTGTTTTGTTTATTTTTTATTGTGCTTCTATTGTGTTATCTATTTATTCTGTATATCTTTTTGTGCAGCACTTTGGAAACCTTGTGTTTGTTAAAATCGTGCTATATAAATAAAGTGGATTGGATTGGAGTAGTGAGCAAAGAATGAAGATTTGATATTCCATATTTCTGACCTAACCAAATTTAAAATACAAAAAAAACTCTTTTAGAGATTAAAGACTCTTTTATTTATTTTTCTAGTGAAAAACTTTACTAAATATACTTTGGCTTTCATAGAGCATTAAGCATAAGAATGCAAAATAAATGATCAACCAATCATTTATCGGCTATAGTTGAATTACTGGAATAATATATAATAATTTATTGGCCCCGATAATTATCCTGCATCCCATTCCCTACTTCCTTTCACTGACGAATGAAAAAAAAAAAAACAGCCATAAATGAAAACCCTTTTGTTTTACCAGCCAACCTGCCGCAGTCATAAACTAGTTACTAGTAGGTCACATGGCAACCAAATCTTTTTTTTTTGTCTTTCTCTTGCAGGAAAAAGAGGAGCGCTATCTAATGCTTTTCCCCAATGTGTTAGTCATGCTTTCTGCCAGTCCCCGGATGAGTGGCTTTATTTATCAGGTGAGGTACACCATACCATGAACCTTCCCTTATAAAAGTAATCTTTCCATTTGTATCAGTTTTCATTTTTATGGTCACATAATTCCAACTTCACTTCACTTTACTTCATTATTTTAAGGTGGTAACTACATGTACCACATATCTCTTACCTATGATATGGTGTTTTATTTCTTCTTTCTTTGTTTATCGCATTCAGGGACGACTGCCCCTGACAGGCACCACAGTAACAAGACATGGGGAGGATGCAGACAATGCCCACTATGCCTTTGACATCACAGGTTTGCATCACCCCACTTCTTTAGTTTCATAACATACACACCTTGAGATGGATTCAGGTAATCCAGTACATTTGAAGCTTTAAATTGCTAATCCCTTAACCTCCCTGGCAAAAAATCCACCATGACAATCACCAAAACCTGTTGCTTCACAGGACTCACGCTGTATAGTTCAGGTCAGATAAACAATGACAGTAGACACATAACGCTATACCAATAACATCAATACAAAGATGAATTTTTATAGGATAAAATAAAGTTCTGTGGTGCTAAACATAAGAAAAAAGTGCATAGTTAAAAGGTAACACTTATTGAAATCTATTGCACTTTGCCCTGGGACCCTGTACTTCTGACCTGAAGGGAGACAAAGACAGGATGGTCTGCACAAATGGATCCTGGTGATAAAATATGTTTGACAAGGAGGACTGCTGCTTTCCAATGATGTAGCTGACCACCTTGATATGGTACCCAGTCTTTTTTTGTTTTGTACATTAAGATTGCCATACCAGGACTCTAGTGAAAAGGTTCAAACTGACTCAATTAAAGATGTATGAAACGGCACCATCAATTTACAGTCAACATCAACATCAACATCAACAACTCGACAGCCTCCATAGGAAATAGAATCTTTGCTGGTCTAAATCACTTCTTAAAACATATCCCTGTTTAAGAAAAAAAAGCTTTGTTTGTATTCTTAATGTCTAATATTTTATTACTATTATTGTTATTTATTATATATTGGCTATGGTTATTTTATTCTTTAATTTCTATATTTTGCCTGTTTATTTGCCCCATTTTGGTTAATTTTGCAAAATGTTTTATCTATTTATTTTTACTGATGGGGGTCTTTTATTCTGTTGTATTTTCTTTAATTCTACATCACCTCTATGTTACTTTTTAATTGTTATGATCTTATTTTTAGCCTCGTGGCTCCTGAAATGTTTTAATCCTGGTTTCGGCCATGTAAGGCGCTTTGTAACTTTGTTTTGAAAAGCACGGAATGAATAAAAACTTAATTTTATTTCTAAATGACACCTACATGCCCTAAATGAGCTGCTCTCTGCATGTGTTGACTCTGCAGGAGGCATTATCGACCGTATTACAGTGTTCTGTAGCAGTGCCCAGGAGTTACAGGAGTGGCTAGAGCACCTTCAGCCCTTTACCAAAGGTGTCAGCCCTGCAGGCACCATCTCAAAGGTTAGGATACACACATGCACACACACACTCACACACCAACACATACAGTATAAAGTCAAAACGATATCAAAAGTGTGACAAATCTGAGGTGACAGTTTACTCATCTTAAGTTGCACGAATAATTCTCGCACTTGTCTTTTCTACTTTTCCATGTAGACTGTAGAAGGCAAGCCGCTGAGCATGGTCGGTACCCCCACTCACCTGCCCCTCCCGGGCAACCTCAGTGTTGTCAGTCGTGGCCCCCTAGAGCCACCGAAGATCAGCAAGCCCTGGTCTCTCAGCTGCCTGCGTCCTGCACCTCCCCTCAAGCCCTCTGCTGCCCTGGGATACAAAGAGGTAGGAGTATGTAGAGATGCACAAACAAACCTACACAAGCTTGATATGTCTCTCCTGTAAGCAGTCGGGCAGCACACTATTAGTCAGAAACTGCAAGAAGTCCCCCTCCTCTACAAGCCCCGTCTCTGTCCCCTGTTTCTGTCTGTACTTTATACAGACCTCCAGTGTCCTGTTTTACTCAAAACTTCCCACCAGACACACAAGTAACACATTGACACACACCTTTAATCCATTAATTGTTTAACAGTAACAGATAAAAGATAGAAGCACACCAAAGATGAGAATTGATTTAGTGGTGCGATCGGATCTGGATACACCACAAGTTGTAATGTGTTGCCATGTTAGCCGTTTGTTATGTACTTTTTTAGTCTTTATACATGGTGGATTACAAATATTTCTGCTATTGCTGAATATTTGTATCCATGAGTAGCAGGAACAGTACTATTCTTGTTATTCAATAACTTGTTTGTGATGTTTGACAAGTTTACAATAAAGCATATATATATATATATAGTGGTTACACGCTTTAAAAACCTCATACTTCATTGTGATGACAACAGGAAATATATAGATTAGTACTTAGCACAGTGCGTGGGCCAGCTAGATATAGTACATGTTGACAGTGAAAAGTGGCAACAAATATTAATACAGAAAAAAGATTTAAGGCTACTGCAAGTTCAACTGAAAGATGCCAGGTTGTGATTATGTTCTGAGGAAGTAAATTCCAGTAAAAGCAGCATGATCACTAATTCTGACACGGAGTGAACAATGAGTGAGCTAGTGTTTATGAGCTACCTCTCTTTGAGTGTGTTGACTCTCGCTCAGGTCCACGTGGGAGGTAGAAGCTTTTGCACAGTTATCAGTCAGCACTGTTAAACTTTCAGTTATCATATACACAGTGCTTCGCCACACTGTTTTAACACCAAGTTCACACATTTACTCTTGCATGCACAGTCCTCTGAATGCATGACCACCTCTCTGGCAAGTTTTCTCCATTTCTTCTTTATATCTTTCCTTTTTTTTTTTTTTTTTTACATGAGGTAGTCACCCTATTCTGCTCAGAGAAAGAATGGGTGAATGGCAGACAGGGTGCAAAAAATGTTCACCATTAACTCTCTATCACATCCTTCGCTCATTGTATTTTTTCATGCACATTTCCCCTTTTTCTCTCTTTCCCCATCTTGCCTTCTGTAGAGGATGTCTTATATCATGAAGGTAAGGTGTGTGTGTGTGTGTGTGTGTGTGTGTGTGTGTGTGTGTGTGTGTGTGTGTGTGTGTGTGTGTGTGTGTGTGTGTGTGTGTGTGTGTGTGTGTGTGTGTGTGTGTGTGTGTGTGTGTGTGTGTGTGTGTGTGAAGTGAAGGGGGGGTAAGGATGTGGTTTGAGGGTGGGGCGGGATGGGGTTGCCTGTGTGTGTGTTTGCCCCAATGTTGAGCTGGCATGCCATTGCTCTGTTCGCTTCATTCCTCTTTCATTGTCATCAGTTGGTTTCCTGTTTTCTGTAGCCCTGCGCGTCTGCTCTTTTTTTCCCTCTCATTCTCTGCAGTCAGTCAAGGTGTCAGTCACCGCGTATGGTATCATTTATTTATTCAAAAAACCTTTCTGTTGCAGCAACACTGCTCATTTCTACCAGGGGTGCTATTTTTGGAAATCTAGACACAGAGCACTACTGTCATTCAGCCCTGAATGTATTTGCACATTTGAATGATCAGCAGTAGTTTGTTTTCTATGCATAATGGAGTAAGAATAGTGGAATGTAATTAGACACATTCATTTTTTGCCAGGTGGCTTTCAACAGACTCCAAATTAATGCTCTATGAAGCTCCTCTGTTTCTGCTGGATGTGTAGGCAATTGTTTAAAATATTAGCCACAATAACTTTATAAGGCGACCATATGTCAGGGCCTTGTGCCTGTGCCAAGTGGCTATAAAAATCAATTAGGCTGCCTTAATGTGACCGTGTAAATATCAGAGAACACGTGTGCGCTGTGCATAATTCACTATGGGTGTACTCCAAGCAGGGGGATGGAGCTTAACGCTGCCAATCTTGGCACAAAAACTGCAACGTGCCACTGAATTGCTATTGGCACACCACCCTACTTCACCTCTCCCTCCGAGTGTTGTACACAATCCCAATCCCAGAGCACCAAACCAATAAGGAGAGATAACCTCGGTACACTTCAGGAAAATGCGCTTTGTCTTGTGCACCAGCAGTAATGTGACTCACTGAGTCTGTCAGAAGTTCTACGAGACACGATGCACTCAAGGATTCCCCCTGATTCTCATGAGGGACTTTTAGGATTCGGTGGTAGAGTTTAAGGATGCCCCATGAACTGATTTCTATTTTCCTATGGTGAGTTTGACAAAGCTTCTCCATTCCAGCCAAGGGCATGGGGCAGATCCCATCATGTAAAGTGTTCTAAGAAAATTATGTTTAGTCAGTCACAGGTTAGCACCACCCATCTGCATGGGTATAAGCACATCACCATGACTAAACTCCTTTCATTAGTTAATTATTCATCACACCTCAGCTTTTAATGTGCTCAGTAGAGGAAATAGTCAGTGTGCTTGTCTTCAGACCCTAACCTCTCATTCATAAAACCACAGCATTGTGGGTTGAAAGAATGTAAAAACAAATGTCAAATGTGATCACAGCTTCCTTTCCCATGGCTTTATAAACATTCTATTCTCAGGTAACCTTGACTATTACTGACTTCGCTGACAGGACTCAATGTTTGTGATATAAGAAGTACCTTGAAATAATATGGAAATAATGTATGTTATGTTATTAAATGTGATTTGATTTGGTTTGCCTTGGTTTGTGTAGCCCTGTTAGGCAGGATTCATATTAGCACAGACAGATTAGTGGGCCGGTCTGGTCACAGTCATCACCACATGCTTGCTGCCTTGTTTGTTGATGGAATTTTGTTCTTTTGATGTTGTTTGTTCATAAGGGATGTGCATCCTTGTAAGCTTTGCATTCTGTTTGGAGCCTTGGCTTTACAGGTGTCTGTAGCAGTGTGTGTTTTGCGTGTGTGTGCATATGTGTGTGCATGTAGAGAGATGCACTGAATTTAATGTTGCACTCCTGCAGGACTCCAGCAAGAGCCCGCGGCCCATGAAGAAGTTCCTGCCAGGCAACAGGAAGAAAGACCGCAAGCCCTCTGATGACGAGGTTCAGACTAGGAAAAGTAGGACTTTTATGTTACTATAATATAAAATGTATGGGAGGAGTGAATTTTATTGCTATGGTTGATTTTGAAAGTAAAACTGAAATATGGAATTGGAGCAGAAGTGAAATTCAGATGTACAGCTGACATATTGTGTGAATTAGCTTGATCGTTGCAACAAAAAAGTGTTGTCGGTGTGTGGAAATCCGTAGTCCACACCTGAGGCCGTCCTTTACATGAATAATACAGAAGTGTGTTCACATTACACAACCTCCTCTAATGTGATTGTATGTTCATTGCATCAGGGCAGTGTGTGATTCTTATCTGAATAAATTTGTTCTTCATGATTGCGTCCAGTGGCTACCCTAAAACAAACCCAGTAATGTGTGTGTGTGACACCATCTGCTGAATGAAATGAAGTGTGTATTAATGATACTTATAATCTCAATAGGCACAGCCGCCCTGGAGGAGGACGCTCAGATACTGAGGGTGATTGAGGCGTACTGCACGGGAGCCAGCCTGCACCAGACCACCACAGGTGTGTGTTTTGAGGCAAAAACCACAGACAAACATTGTTTCTTTAATGCCTTTTTAAATAGCACATATTCAACAGCTGATACAGCTTGATGACTCAAGCTTTCTCATTCATTTGTGTGTATGCAGCGGTGCGGAAAGAGTGTGTCCCTCAGGTGCTTCTGCCAGAGGAAGAGAAGATCATTGTGGAGGAGATGAAGAGCAACGGCCAGACGGTTATTGAGGAAAAGTAAGCCTGTTATTACTCTGGCAAATAGGCTTTCATTTACTTGTTGCGTAACAGTGAAAACCAAGACTTTGTTATCATTTGTATCTGGATCCTGATTTTCTCTGTAATTAGATTCAGAAATGTGATATTGATCCTGTTGAGGCTGTTGAGGCATGAATCTTCACACAAAATGACTTTGAATTGGAAGCCAGCATAACCTTGATATGCAAAAGATGTTTTAAATGAAAAGGAGAAAAAAAAACTATTAATATTGTTCAGCAAAGTTTAACATATTTTCTGTTTTTCTTTCAGGAGCCTGGTTGATGCTGTGTATGCTTTAAAGGATGAGGTTCATGAACTGAAAAAGGTAAATATTTGCAATCATCGCTCACATCTACACCATTATGTCTATGTGTTTGTACATAGGTCAGCCACATAGTTCCTGTGTCCTACTTCTCATTGCCGCCACTGTGCTTGCTGACATTAATGGGGGGGTCACAGATGTGGTAATGTACAAAAGCTCAACCGAAATGCGATTTGCCTAAAGGCAAATATCGATACATGAGAATGAACCAAAACTGATTACATTGTTGCTGGTTTTTCTTGGAATCGTTTTTTAAAAATCAAATTTACTAATAACATTCAGCAGCATATAAAAATAAATGTGACAAAAACACCTTTTTGTTTCCCTTACTTTCGCCCCACTTTTCTCCCCCACAAAATGTAACTCCGACTTCCATGGGACTCTTTAAATTTAAAACAAGTATTTAGCAATTATTGTCATTATATTTATTTAGTTTAACAGGAGTAAGATAAGTCTGTATCATCCAGTTGTACTGTTAGTATAAATTGCTTCCCTCCTATATTCAAAGGAAATGTCCTCTTTTTGATCCAACTTCACTGTGTGTGTGTGTGTGTGTGTGTGTGTGTGTGTGTGTGTGTGTGTGTGTGTGTGTGTGTGTGTGTGTGTGTGTGTGTGTGTGTGTGTGTGTGTGTGTGTGTGTGTGTGTGTGTGTGTGTGTGTGTGTGTGTGTGTGTGTGTGTGTTTGCAGGAGAATAAATGGATGAAGCAGTTTCTGGAGGAGGAGCAAAAGTCTCGCAAAGAGCTGGAGAGAGTGGTTCGAAAACTGGCCAAGCAGAAGAATGATTGTACTTGGGATGACGGCAGCCACTGAACACATCCATACGACCATCCTCGTTCTAGTGTGGCTGTGTGTATGTGTGTGTATGGGTACATTTATGTATGCATGCTTGTGGAGGGGTCAGGTGTGTATGTGTGTGTATTTGTCTATCCATATCTTGTCTTCATATTTCAATCACGCATAGCAGAGTTGGACCTGCCTCTCTGACGATGATGCTTGGGAGTTTCTTCGCTTCAAGTGCTGGAGCTCGATGTGACGTTTCGATGAAATCTTACTCTGTCTTCCTGATCCAGCCTCACTAGATGAGACCACACATATGCCTCTTCATGAAGCAGCTCAGCTAAACTAAGACTGATCCCGTGGGATGTTTTGTCAAAACATACGGCCTCTTGGCGACTGGCACTGTGAACACTCCCCAGCAAACCCAACAATTTTGGACAAGAACAAAACAAGTTCTCTGCTGCTTCTTTCGCTTCTGTTGGAAATAGAAAAGGAGTACAAAGCCATCCAAGTCCAATAGGTGTTCTCCTGCATGCACTTCTGTTACAAAGCGGACTTATTTTCTTCCCTTCACATCATGACTTTGTAACTGTTATGTTGTATTTGTCACAAAGACGCCCAATTGGGAAATGGATTAATTGAGCTTTCATGAGCTTGTGCATTTTTGTAAGATTCTAGACATTCATAATTCAAGTTTCCAGGCTGTTTTTGTTGGTGTTTAAACAATCCAAACAGGTTTGCTCATCCTTCAGTTGTTTCCAAATGCAGCCCTTCACTGTTTATTTAAAAAAAAAACTTGCATGAATGTACAGTGTTTCTACAGTATGAATTCTGCATCAGAAATGTGATAATCAAGATATATAGTCCAAAGCTATCAGGGATGCAGCTGCATAATAGAATAGAAAAAGCTAAACTATGTATCATTTATTATACAAGAGTATGCAAATAATGACAAAGATGTCAACCCTACTCTACTTCTTACTAAAATGTATTCAAGTATCATTTTAACATATTAATTACATAGCCTTGCTTTATTTTGGATTTTTTTTTTTAATCTTCTTTATTTATTGTTCACCCAAGCATTTAATTGTGATTTTAGCCTTATAGATATAATTTTGCTGCCTTTACATCAGTCTGGAATTTTATGAAACTACACTGATGTGTAAAGACAAAAACAAATATCCTTGTTTCCTGTGTTTTCACCACAAAAGAGGAAGAATTATGAAATTTAATAATGAGTCTGAATGAGAATTCAGAGGTTTTTGTTTGCAGCCTCTCAGCAGGCTCCTGCAGAGCTGATGGATACAGACTGAGGAAATAAACAGAGGCAGATTTGTTTGTGGGTGTAGAGTAGAGCTCAACTGTTTAAGTGCCTCCCGAAGGGGTCGATAAACTTAAAAAAAGAGTTTAAGACCAGACTGGGACTAAATGCATGATTTATGATATTGAAAGTGTAACAGATGGTTTGTTGTAATATTTCAAGAAGAATGGCTCAAGCTTAATGGGTATATATATATCGGGTCTGAATAACATACAGGGCTTTGAATGGTATTTAAGGACCCACAGCGGTACATTTCCTCATGAGGTTTAGTGTGTGTGCACTGTCAACACTGTTATCTACTCTTGCTGCACTGCAGAGCAGCAGTAGATGCTAGTGAAATGCAATAAGTGACTGCTTTATTGGCTGACCTCTGGGTTAGACTCAGCATGGTGGGCCAGATCTGGAGAATTGCAATAATAATGAATGAATTAACCCAATTTATTAACCAAAAAGGGCCAAGACCATGTGGTTCAGCCACCACACAGTTAGGCTATTCGTTGTTTTCCATTTGCCTTTTGTTTAATCAAGTCTCTTGGTATTGATGATTGTTTAAAGGTCACTGACCAGGTCCTAATTTCCATCACAAATGATGCAAAATGTAATAATATTGTAATACTGTACAATCCTTGTCTGCGAAGTGCAGTTTTTGAGTGCACCTCTATTACAAGGAGGTCAGAGCACTGTGCAGGGTACAAGGCAGCACTGGCACATCTGCAGCAGAGTCGGTGTCTTGCTCAAGGGCACTTTAGCGAGGAATAACTGCTTGCTCGGGTGCTGACCTTTTAGTTGCTATTCCTGTTGGGACACTTACAGAGAGTCTGCTTCCTGTACAGATGTGTGACTGTCTCAACATATGTTCGCTGTTGAAATTAATATTATTGCTGTTCCCGTGATCTAAATCGTTTTCATTAAGTACCACATACTCTAGTTTTCAATTCCCAAAATCCTCAGTGAGCACTTACTGGTGGGAGGGGGGTTGAACTCCGGTTTCGTCTTGTTCATCTTGTCTCCAAACCACTGTGTGTATTGTTTTTGAGAGGTTGTTCTATGCAATTGTTGTTGCAAGTATTGTAATGCTTTGTTTTTCTAGACACTCTGTACTTTGTGTTTGGTATGGTCATTCTTTTATTAAAAATTTAATATAATAACTCGAGTTTAGCTTTTGACATCAATTCCACCGAGTGAGAAATGGAAAACCACACCGCATAGACTGCACTTTCCCTCATTCATACTGGAAAATCCACCAAGACAGGCTTTTCCATGCAGCACTCTGCTCGTGTACAGTTCAGGAATTTGTAGGTTGTTCAGATTCGGTAGCAAGAAACCCTTTTACAGAACGGAAGGTGACTAGCATAGATGACATCCTGTGAGGGTGTGCTGCCTGCATCTATAAACACCTCCATAAAGATTCACACTTTCCACTGTACAGCTCCACCACGACAGTGATGTGAAATTCGCAGTTGTCTCAGGTGCTAACTGCGTTGCATTTTGCTTTTGATGGGTTGGTGGGTAGACATTTTTTATATTACTCACCAAGTATATTTAAAACCTAGTCACAAAGCAGGTTAAAGGTAGATATAACTCATGCATTCAGTGTTTCAGTAAAAAAAACTAGGTCAAGGTCTAATCTGTACATGTGGACAATACAGTGACTTTTAATGTTTTAGCCTATTTACTACAAATCCTGACTACTTGGCATTACTGATATATATATATATATTTTTTTTTTAATGTCTTTTTCCTGCCTGTTAGGTCTAAATTAAATTTTATACAGTGTGAAAATGGCAGACACTTGAGTCTTGCTAGAGTTGCGAAATATATCAGTGAATGCTATGACCACAATTGTGTGTCAAAGTTTTATTGTGAGGTAGTGCCTATACATTTAAACTGTATCACGTCATGGCAATAAAGAACAGGAATAAAATCTTTTTTTTTAATGTGATGGATTACACAACTCAGATAAATTTCAAGAGTTTGATAAATGATTCATAGGCCATATGGAAATGAACTGGAACCAATGGCATCGTGGAAGGAAGGAAAAACACAAAAGAGGAAAATCTGTAGCTCCCTTTGAAGTCCTTAAAATAATCACGTTTCCTTTACGATTTTTCTTGTACCCCTAAAAACACCATGTAGTTGGATTCATAATCTTTAGATACATCATCAAAATGATATACGTCTAATTGCCCTTCGTGAGTGGTAACCTACATCTGTTGATGATGTTTTTTGTGGCTTACCATCATGAGGAAATGCATCTTCGCTAAGTGTGTTCTGTGTCCTAGAAATTTAAAACCATTGTGGTAGAGCCTGAAACAGTAACGCAGTGGGTTTTTGTGCTTCAGAGCGAATTTAAGTTTGATCATAATTCTGAATTATGGAGCATCTCAATGCTGCATGTCTTTCCTTTATACCATTTAAGATCTTCTGCAGATGTGCCCCATACTGGGACATGCACACAGATAAACTGTGTAATGCAACACTTCAAATCAACATCAAATATGTGTGTCTTATGTGTGTGTATCCTTTGGGTCTAACTAACTCCTGAAAATGAGTCAGATGCAAGACAAACTGAGAAGAGAAGAAATGTTTTGGATTAAATATTGAGTTTCATTTCACAGCCACACATTCTCATTTACATAAATAAATACACCAACCATTCACAATACTGCCACAAAAAAAAACACAAACATTTTATCTGATTTAATAAATTATAGTTTAGGAATGTGGTCAAAAAAGACCAGAAACAATTAGTTTGATTACTTATCCAGTATACTGTGTTCTCAGTGGCTTCCATCAACTTAATGAGTTCCCACTTTTCAGCTTAGGTCCATGTGTCTGCTCCTATAGTCCTACAGTTTGTACATCCCAAAGGTTGTGGCTCCTTCCTCGTAGTTCACCAGTGAAAGGTCTTGTACCCAGACACTGAGCTGGTTTCCTTTCTCCAGTGTGATCACATCTCCCTGTGAGGCTGTGCACATGCGAGGGATTGATGCAGACCCACTCTGGACATCCAGATTGCAGAATGCTTGCATCACAGTCTTCTCCTCTCCTGTCTCATGCTTCCTCAGCATGATCATGCTGGCCAGCGGCCTCTGAGAGCCGCCCTTGGAGAAGGTCACCCTGGAGTAGACGTAGTAGTCACCAGGCTGCAGGATAGTCAACCAACTTTTGCGGTAGTAGTTGATGTCCTTAAGAACTGAGTGCTTCGTGTCCCACGGGAGATAACCCGCTGGAGAGACAAGGAAAGATGTTTAAGAAACATTATTGAGGACACTTTACTTCGAAACAGACTTTTGGCTATTAATTAATGCATTTTTAAAAAGATCCAATATGTATTCATAGTTTCTTACGTTTAGGAGTCTGTACTGTTGTGTGCTCAACTACCATGCGTGCCAAGATTTTAGAGGAAGTTTCCTGCTTTTCTGATGAAAGATAAGTCGCTGGAAAAAAGAACAAACATCTGGTCAGAGACTGGATTATTGTATGCAATTTAATGTACAAAATTACTTTCAGGAATAAATAAATAAAATGAATGTACCAGTTCCTTCTGCTGAGGAAAGTCTTCCCTGTAGGCCCTAAGTAATGAAGAAAAGTAGAACATCAGGAACAAGTAGAACAATTTGTTGAATGTATATTTTCTTATGACACCTTACAAATATCTTTCTATGTTTACACAATGCTCATCTTGTGACAAGACAACAGTGTGCTATGAATATTATACTTCATCTGTTTTTTTCTAAAGCATTTCCTGTGCTTCAAGCACGGTTTCATTGACTTGACGGTTATATTTTTACATAGAGCAGAAAATATGTGAACCATCAGAAGATTCACTGTACACAGATCTATTTCAATATTTTCAATCTATTTCGTTCTATTCTATTTCTCATTTTTTAGTTTGCTAGTAGTTAATTTTTCTTTAAGCAAACACTTTTGTAAAGAAGGTGTAAAGTGAAATATTTTAATTTCTAATGTCTTGAAAGATTACTGAATAAATACTGTACTGATACAAGCAGCAGTGCCACCAACTATTTGTACATCTAAACTGTACTTAATATTCTAATGTATAAGAGACATTTTTACCATTTTGCCATTGTGGTACAGATAGATGAATCCTCCAACTGACAGGAATAAATGCAGCAACACTGCGCCAACCAAAAACCTGAGGAGAGACTTGCTGTGGCCTTGTGATGGAAGTGGAGCCGGGATGAGGACCGGTTGAGACCTGCTGTGGCGTGGAGGCACCGGCGGAGGAGCCAGGCTGGTCTGGTAAGTGTTGATCATGGTGGAGTGGAGTGGCGAAACCTAGAGAGGCCTGGCGTCCGTGACATGCCATGCACTTCTGAACGGTGCTCTCTAAGCAGCTGAGTTTTTTTTCTTGCTACTTCCTGGAAGCTTTTAACTCTTCAACAGGCAGATCTGTGAGAGATGTGACCTTTATTTGTACATGTGTGAATGTGTGTGTGTGTGTGTGTGTGTGTGTGTGTGTGTGTGTGTGTGTGTGTGTGTGTGTGTGTGTGATGTCAAAATTGCCTTTTGGCACTTTCTACATCTCTGTCATATATGTTCCTAAATGCCACACGATGCCATGTGGCCATGTACTACTCAGTATTTCTATGTCAAAGTGGCAAAACTTCTATTTTTGGCTGGTGAAAAACTAATTCTGATGAGGTTTAGTATGTAATTTAGTGTGACATACAGCACTATAATAGTATTTGCATTAGTATAGGTGATATTAGAACACACCTAAAGGCCCACAACTGGACCTAGTCAACACAAATGACCACAGCAAGAAATAGATATGAGAGATAGACATGAAGAGTCATATCAGAAGCAGGAAATAACACATTTCCTACACATTGGCCTTTTAACAAGCAATGGCCAAATTCCAGGTAAATATAGCCTACTGAAAGCTTTGCTGAATTCAATTCAACTTCTTTACTCACATAATGAAGTCTTACCTAACTAACTTTGGTAACAACCGCAGTATATGTAAGCTCTGCTTGGTTGTGGTAGAGACCCACTAATGTTTTAAGCTGTACCCGCACAGCCAGTTTAGGCTAATGTGAAACGTTTTTTATGTGGCATATTCCCACAGTAGGCCACAGAGCATTGCATAGAAACTTGGCTTGCAACTTAGCAGATGCGACTACGTTGTTGGTTTTTCCTGTATGAGATTGCATAATAGGTTGTTTGTCAGTCCTGCACTGTAGCAGGTTATACAGACAGACAGACAGACAGACAGACAGACAGACAGACAGGTAGATAGATAGATAGATAGATAGATAGATAGATAGATAGATAGATAGATAGATAGATAGATAGATAGATAGATGCAGCTCTTCGTGAAAGCTTTTGAAAATGGTTGATGTGTGTTTTTTATTTATATTGTTTCTATTTCTATTTATTCCTTATTTTTAATGTTATTGTGTTATGTTTGTTGCATGTTTTGTTATTTATTTTTGTAAAGCACTCCGAACATTGTTAAGAAAGGTAGGCTCATAATTGTTATATAATAGTGTAAATATAAACATACAGAGTATTTATATGTACATGTATAAATACACTGATTATACATTAGGTATAATAATCAGTTTTCTACTTTGTTGTCTTAACTTTTGCCAAACAATATGATCATTTAATTAATGGCATAAATGGTATCTTCTTGAAATTTTATCAGTATGTCTGTGTTACATATCGGCATATAACACAGCATTATATTGTATTAATAACTATGTTGCTAATGAATTCAATACTCCTGTTTCATAAGATCAAGATACAATAAAAACAATAACTTCAAAATCAAAAACACTTATGATAAATGGGAGTGGACATTGTTTTTATGTAAACCACGAAAGACATTCATTGATTTATGATTTTTATATGCATCTGGATGTATGTGCTCAGAGTCTCTCAGAGAACGGAGGGCTGCTTGGTAAACCTGCAGCGAACACATACATGTATTTTCAGAGCATTCATTCAAAACATGTAGCTACACTGACACTTGCCAAATTAAATATATGCATTAAAGCAGACGCTGAACTACATGGCACTGAGTTTACATTCAAATGTTAAAAAAGAGCTGCCAGTGACATTCATCTTCATATGTAAAATCAATAGCAGGGTGTTGAGAGATGTGTTGAGGTCCTTTACTTGCACTTTGGATTCTAGACAATAATTCAGAAACATTTGTTTTAACTTTCACAGTCTGTCATATTAAATGATAAAAAGCTTTTATGGAGTGTAGTGGACAACAAGAGTACGGCAGTCATTGGACCGGCTGCACAGGGCAGCGCTTCTACAACTGCTGAGGATCGGAGGTTGTGAAGAGCTGAGGGAGGTTTGTCTGTGGACGGGGAAGTTGCCAGAGTACTGTGTCCTTCGAGTTGGGTGTTCCTCTCCTTGAACAGACTGTGACTCTGCGTTGCACTTCACAAAGGCCACAAAGCATCTATAAAACTGTGTAAAAGTACAACACATATGCTCATTTCCTGTAAACATGAATGTGGTCATTTACAGGTCAAAAGACAGCAAGCTGACAGTGACAGTGCTGCATCCTAAGTGCTGCAGAGGCCTTGGGTGCTATTGAGTTCCCCTCTATGGATGAAACACTCCCCACACCTCCCCACTGAGCAGTCATATGCACTACAACCAACATATCTTACATAACCTACTTCAATCTAGTAACAAATGCTATGAAAACAGCAACCTTGGGTCATTATTCATCAGCGCTTGGCTCTCACCTGGTTGTTGAGAAATACGTAGATGATGGGGTTGATGACAGTGCTGAACTTGGCCAGGACGGAGGGCACCACGCTTGCAATGGGAGTGACAAGTCCCGACCTACCGAAGGTGGCCATCAGTGCCATGACGCCGTAGGGCATCCAGCACAGCATGTAGCAGGACACCATGGACAACACCATCACCAAAATGTGATGTTCTCTGCGCTGAGCTGCCAGCAGATTGATCTTACCCACCTGGAGACATGACAGAGCAGGAAAGAGGTACAGAGGAGGTTAAATCTGTCTTGACAAGTATTTTATAATGTTGACTTACAGCTAAAGAAAAGGCATGGATCAAGTTAGTTTCATTTGCAACACATGATGTCTGAGGTTCTAAGGTAGGTGGTAGGTTTTTCATGCCTTCTCCCTCATGCATTTCTGTGTTATTTGGATATCCTCAGTTTGTTCTGTGATTGAAAACTGAAACCCACTATGTGTAGTAATCAAACATTTATTTCTTTAGTGCCATCCAGTGGTAGTATCAGAAAAGACACTGTGACACACAGTGTGTAGGATTTTGTGTCATCTAGCGACCTTCACCCTCCCTTTCCAAGTGTAAAGGAGAAACTACCTCCATGGAAGGCGACAAAAACAGATTCTAAGGTTAGAAAGACATAACTAGTCTTAGTTTCAGGTGATTAATGGAAACATATCTGTAAATATTTCGGGGAATAGAGCCTATTCAATGCATACACTAAGATCCAATACAATTAGACTAACTCAACATATAGTGGGGTAAAGGGGTACTTTCATAATGTGGGGGTCAAACATAACATGTCTTTAATAAGCCTAGCATCGTTGATGGTCTTATTTGTTTATGTAGGTCATAGAGGCATTAATATCAATTTGAAAATAAACTCCTTGTAGTACATTTAATGTGTAAAATCAGAGGAGCACCTTTTTAATATCTAAAAAGGCTTAAACTCTTAAAGTTCTTTGAGACAGAATTCTTTTGTGTATTGAAAAGCAAATAATTTTATGTTGTTATGTCTTTTTATGTTCATTAATTGTTCCCTCGCTGTTTCAGGGACAAAATAATGTTTAAAAATTGCTGTACAATAATTATTATGTATGTGTGAAGGTTACACAGTGGTGGAAATTGTCGAAACCGACTTGTAGTATAACATGTGAATGACTGCTCAGTAATGGTTATGTCACAGTAACCATAGAAACAGTCATTAAAATATACTAAAGTGTGGCCAGCAGCTGTAAGGCCACTATACATACTTTGACATGTTTCATTACATCCATCCCTGCTGCTGGCTTTTGCAGTGAGCTAAAATTATCCCAGATGCATCATATGCCGAGTGGTGATTGTCACCTCCTCAGTATTGATTTCATACCCCTGTGGTTACCGTTTTGTGTAATTACCACTCTGATGCTCATCGCATTGTTTCACGAATAAATTAGGGTGTCTGCCTGGTCCTCCAGAAGAGAAGATCCTGCCCTTTCTGTCAAATTACTGCACATCTCTCACACACTCAATTACACTTCACCTACTATGATATTTGGTCATAACCTCTGTTGCTCTTTCTCCTATAATGTAATAACTACTCTGACAATGTCCACCCAGCATGCACTTCTGCATGACTGAACTTTTGTTCTGTTTTGAATATTACTGACATCAAAGTCTGTCAAGCATTACAGCCAGATGACACTGGCAACTGAAAAATGTAATGCATGATTCTGTCTTATCTGAACAGAGAGACTAAAATATGACAGATAAACCCAAGGAGCACTGCAGAATTGTGCTCCAATAAATAAATGGAAATACTTTTCAGTCTTTAATATATATATATATATATATATATATATATATATATATATATATATTTGTGATAGGAAATATGCCCATTGTCAATTCAAGTACATCAGTAAATCTGTGACTTCATAGAAGAAGCTTTCTAGACGGCATCAATAATGGAATGGTAAAGATGTGATGCTGTCATGCGGAGATAATAGAAATCCAAGCTTGAGCCACACTGATGCTGTTGATATAAATGTCATCTCACTTTCTGACAGGTCAGTTTAAGCCAGCAGAATGATCCGCAGACTGATTGCTCAGTTTCTAAGAAAAGCCTAAGGTGGGGCTTTCAGTTGGTGGGCGACTGGTGTGCGGCTGAGCCCCGATTCGCTGTAACAATAATCAAGTCTGCAAAGCCCTTCTTGGCTCTGACTCAGGTGCACAGAGTTGGGGGAAAAATGGAGGTGGTTGTATAATGGCAGGTATCCAATAGTAACAGGTTGCTTCCACAATCTAAAAATACCTCCTGGGTGATTCATTGATAGGAGTAGTAGCTACAAAGTGCATGAGTGAGTGAATGGGAGCCCTTAACTATCAATTAGTAGGTTTACGTAAGCCCCACCAGGCTTGGGATGAGTCACTGGAAACAGAGAGGTGGTCATTGCCAGCCCAGAAAAACGCACACCATACACTCCCCTGAAGACATTGCCTCTCATTCCTTCGCCTGCTGGATAAATTGATTGTAAGATTGTTAACACAGAGCTGTGGCTTCTGGGATTATCTGGCTTGATGCTCCTCGAAATTACCTTGGAAACACATGACCAAGTGTTAGTAGGAGTCTGGCAGATGTCAACCTCTGAGCCACAATCTCATGTGCAAAGAATACCTTGACAGCTCAAGAGTCACAACGGCGGCCACTTCAGCAGAGTTATTAAGGCTTCATAGCTGAACAGATGGACATGGTGAAAGGCAGCACTTTGAGCACATTATCCTCAGAAAATTACAGCTCTATACATGCAAACATGAACCTTTGTTCATGTTTGTACTGTTAACTGTCAGAGAATAACGTCAATGATGATACAATGTGTCCAGCCATATCAAATACAATGGCAATGCTAGATTTGCATATATTTTGGTGGAATAATTATATTACGAAGAAAGAGGGACAACCGAACCACTGATGACTTAAAAAGGGGAACACCTGAATTCTAATGGAAACAGAAGGTAAAGCCTCTCATCACATTCAGGGTGGATTTACTGTGAAACACTAGTTCAGGAATGACAGAGATAATGGAAACACATTTCCTAATTGTCAGCAAAGAGAGACATGGTCTGCATATTACTGACACAGGTATCTAAATTTAGATTAAAACTCTCAACTCTGAGCTGCCATCTACTGTTCAGTCTCCTGAGGTAAAAGGGTGTTCCCATTTTTACTTATATGAATGAGAAATAATGTACTTATATATATGTGTTTTCTTTTATGTTGTTTTCATCTTGTGTTTGTGTGCCCTCTAAAACATACTGTGGAAAAATCTATTTATTAAACATTGTGTATTTTCTATAATATCAACAAAAGAAGTAGTTAATAGTTAAGAAAAACTTTAAAATCTGTGAATATGTGAATCAAAATAGTTTAGTTTAGTAGTTTTAATTTTAGTTTTTGTAAACATTATACTGTATCTGGTGTTTTCTAGTCATTTGTCAGACACATTCAACTCACAAATGCTGTAAAGACAACATGTCTTGATAACAGATTAGTCTGAACTCACCCTCTTGATTGCAACCAGGATCCGGCCATAAGAGTAGACCATGAGTAGAAGGGGCAGCAGCAGACAGAAGATAAAGAGACACAACACATATGAGATGCTGGTGGGTGAGCGGAGGTGCCACTGGACAGAACATGTGGTACCGGGTCCCTCGGGCCCGTAGCTGCTCCAACCCAGGAAGGGTGGCAGGGTCCAGAGGAGAGAGTAGAGCCAGGAGCCTCCGATGCAGAACCAAGCCTTCCTGAAGTCTGAGATGTCAACCTTTGAGCAACGCAGCACGGTGGTGTAACGCTCATAGGAGAGAACAGACAGGGACACCAGGGACACAATCCCTTAAAGAGCACGAAAGGAGAAGACACAAAAGTAGATATAAGACTTCATTCAGTGTAAATGAGGTGTGAAGCCTTTACCTTGTCCAAAAGTGTGAAACCATTTGTAACAAAATAATTACTGGGAAGAGAGCGGTTATGAATTTCTTAAACTAATTAATAGTTGTCTACCGATACAGGTTTTTTCAACTGCATTATTCTATACATAATAATATAATATAATAATTTAATTCAAGCCAGTATTGGTTTTTATTTATATTTGCTGCCATTTAGGACAGGAGAAACGTGTTAAGATTTAGAAAAGACAATGGTGACTGAGGAAATGTCGGCCTATCAGATAGTCAAATATGTCTTTATTTGACGACCTGAGAATGATACTCAACAATCAGCTATCTTTTTCAACTCTGATTGGTTGTTTTTCGTTCAGGCCCTGTGGATTCTTGCAAATGCATTTAGGAGCACTAGGAGGAGCCAGAGGAACCTGATATTTTTTATAGATTATCTGTTTCACGTACTGTCAGGATATAGTGAAAGTTTTAGCAAATAGGACACAAAATATATTTTTATAAAGGTTACCTACTGCAGCTTTAAGTGAAGAAATCATCAACATTTTAAATGAAAATGATGAAAGTAGATACTTTGGAATGATATGTAATATTTTCAGCAGAATTTGTAATGTCACTACTAATGTGTGCTTTTTGTTATTTTTACTGTAGAGGAAAACTGTTGTCTGACAAGACGTATTTACTTTGATTCTATGTGTCAGGACCCTCCTAATGACCCGCAGTGTATGTGAGCGTCATATAACATTATGTAAGCATGTGCCTCCTTTCTGCTGTCAACACTAACAGCTCTCAGACAGGGAGGTACTGAATGTGGTCTCAGAAACGATAGTAAAGACATTACTGACTCATAGAAGACCAGCTCTGTGACTAACTTCGGTTCACCTGAATGTGGGTGGGTTTATTTCTTCTTTTACTGAGACAGAAAACAAGAGACATTTAAGGAAAAAACATAATGAATGATGAACATGCTGCCATTTATTTTCCATTTGAGCCACGCTGGGAGCATGGCTCTATAGATGGCAATCTCCGTCTGTCCACCACTTCTGACAACTATAGATGGATTGAGATGATATTTTGTACAGATATTCACACACACTGAATCCTGAATGATTTTGGTACATTTGTAGTTTTGAGAAAGAGAAAACACTGAATTATCCGTCAGGCAATTTGGTTCAGATATTCATGCTCCCCTCAGGATGACCTTTATTAATTTGGTGGTTACTTGACTTTTTAATATTGTGCCATCATCAGGTCCAGATTATCCAATATCTTCAAATACCTATCACGTAACTTTCAGATATCATCACAAAACGTCCCACATTCAATGCAGGTGGGTGTAAAACCAAAAAAGTTACATATTTGTATTTATGTCACTCACCAAAGAGTGAATTGGCGAACCCGTACCACCTGCAGCCGTGCTCCCCGATGAGCCACCTCCCGTGAAGACTCGCAGCGAAACTGAAAGGTGTCCCGAAGACGCACACGAGGATGTCGCTCAGACTGATGTTCAGCAGGATGAGATTGATGGGCGTCCACAGGGAGCGAAACTTTGCGAAGACAACAAGAACAAGGAAGTTGCTGAGGATCCCCGCCACTAAAATGAAGCCGAGGCATACTGCCACCACCGTGTGGCCAGTCCGGCTCATCCCGCCGTGGCTTTGGGGCGCCGGGGAGTCCCACAGGGTGGAGGCGTCGGTGTTGAGGCTGGAGCTGGAGAGAGAGCTGTCTGTGGTGCTGAAATTGCAACCGCGTATGTGGACGACCATAGCAAGGAGAGGAGAGCGGAGGGCTGGAGAGGAGCTGGACAGACAGACAGACAGACAGACACACACACACACACACACACACACAGTGCACAGTCCCAGTTCAGCAGCTCCACACGCTGCAAGGGCCGATACAACACAAGTATGAGAGTGTGTGTATGAGAGTTGAGTGTGCCCTGTGCACCTCTTTATACTTGCAGCCCTTTAATGTATGTACATAGCCCACCTCCACCCCTTTCCCCCTACCACGCACCAACACTCACTGTTTTTTTTTCTTTTTCTTAGAATCTTTCCGGTTCTTATAATGAGTCCTTTTGATCACAATGGCATGCATAAATACAGTAAATCCCCCCAATTTTATTGCTTTCCAGCTGCTCATGCAATGCCTTTCAAGGCGCTGTGCTGAGCTCATCTTGAGATGTGAATCAAATTCGCACAGTTACACCGACTTCCACTGGATTCGAGGATTTTTCATTGCAGATATAGGCCAGATTAACCGATTTTCCACAATGAAGGTCTAAGTTTTCAGTCACACTGGAGAGAATTACTCGGGGCGTTCCGCTCCAGAAATACCAACTTTGGTTGCATGATTTTGCTAAGCTGTGCGTTTCATATTCATTGCTGCTCGATGTGCTCCTGTGTATAGCTGCAAACAGCTGTTTCAGTTGAGCAGAAAGTAAGTCTCCAACAAAGAAAGTTTCAGACATATTCAGCATTTTATTTTCTGCACAGCCTCCTATTCAATAAACTAACTTCCACAATAACTTTAAAGGACCATTCCAGTATTTGTGTATGTTTTATCCTATTTAGATTACATTAACCATTTTACAAATAGTCCTCACAGGCAGACAGTTTGCCATTAATTTATGCATTATGTGATCTTGGATTGATGATGGGTAATCCATGCTGAAAATCTAAGTCTAAGATGTAAGCTCAGTTATTGTTGCATGTTATAGCAGTAAAGTCATTTGCACTTCTATCCCTATTTCCATGCAATTATAACCTCGCTACAACAGCAAAAGCAGACACAACAATGGTTTACTTCACTCAAGCAAGTTTTAAATCAGTGTAAATGAATGTTTATTCCATAGGGAAATAAAACAAATGGATGCATCTAAGTGCAGAAAAAAGCACCCTGACAAATATAAAACACAACAAAATGCCTTGGAAAATGGTGAGTAAATTATATAATTTGTAGTAAATGTACAAAAACAGCAGTATTGGTCCTTTAATACCAAAGCAAAATGAAAGGACAAAAACACTAATAGCACAGACATAATAATAATAATAAAACATAAAGGTTGGTTTAATGATTACGATGGATACATGACTGGAAGAACTAATGTCATTCTGCTCTTTGACGCCGCCATCGGGAGAGCTCTGCAAATCTCGAGTGCTGTCACTGGAAAATACATGCAGCAACCATGAACACTTAATGCCCCCTCTTCTCGCTCTGCCATCACCATCATTGGTTTGTTGAAAGCTCAATAGAAGAGTCATAACTACAAACCCCCTCATCCTCTTCCCCCATATGGGCCTCAGATCAGCCTGATTATGCCTGACACAAGGGAGGAAGAGGGATTATGGTTTCTAGTCTGTATGGCCGCTGAATCCACACCTGCCTCCTTGAGAAGTGCAGATGGCCTACTTCCTCCTCAACACCTGCTGCCAATCTTCTTTCTATAACAACTAAAAACAGATACCAGAAAGATTCTTAAATTGCAAACAATAAGTCCCTTCAATATATAGCTGTTACAATGACTGCATATGAGCCCATAAGGCAAAAAGGAATTAAGTGTTTGGTGTCATGAGCTTGAGCTGGAAGACTTGAAAGTTTATTCTGTGTGCTGCATTTTTACTGCCTTTCTTTACATCTGTATCAGCTAGCCGACAACAGAAACATTTTCTATGTGTGGGTTTGTTTGATATTTGCTTTATTAGTTGTGTTCTTTTCTTATTCTTGTGTAAAACATTTCAATTAGATGCAGGATGACATTAATTAAGCATTTGTTTCCTTTTACATACGTTTCCCACAGCTACAAAGAATTATATTTTATAACAGAACTGACGTTTCTCCTCAGGTTAGTCAAGGACAACAGGATGGTTACACATAACACATAATTGTTTTGTTTGGAATGGATTACCTCTGTGACTCTGGAGCAAAGCTAAAGAATCTACATCTTTCAAATACAGCCACAGGAGGATCACAGAGACTGGCAAGAGAGTGTAGAGAAACTCTGACAACCAAGAATGAACAAGGCTTCTTATAGCAGCTTCTTTGCTGTGACTAAAGGAAGCATCCTGTATATCAAAATATAATGTAAATACAGTCACTACAATAAGATAATTTCCCCTTTTATTTAATTATGAAATAGAAACCCACTGACGTCTGCAACACTTGGTAGAAATACCACACCAGCTTTATTTTCTAGCTCTGAAGCTATTCCTGTGCAAAGATGACATTAAATATTTTCAACAGGGTGAACATACAGAGAAAATCAATAGAACAATGGTGGCTGATACCTAAGTAAAGGTTAAAGAGTGGAGAGATGAAAACTAAATAATTTCAGACAAATACTGATAGAATATCTAAAAAGACAGAGCTATGGTGCAGCTATCGAGAGAGATTACACCGATCAGCCATAACATTATGAGTACTGACGGGTCAATATCACTGATTATCTGGTTATCATTGCACCTGTCAGTGGGTGGGATATATTAGGCAGCAAGTGATTATTTTGTCCTCAAACTTGATGTGTTAGAAGCAGGAAAAATGGGCAGCGTGAGGATTTCAGCAACTTTGACAAGGACCAAATTGTTATGGCTAGACGACTGGGTCAGAGCATCTCCAAAACTGCAGCTCTTGTTGGGTGTTCCCGGTCTGTAGCGGTCAGTACCTATCAAAAGTGCTCCAAGGAAAGAAAAGAACCGAAGACAGGGTCATGAGCGGCTACAGCTCATTGATGCTGAAGGCTGGCCCATGTGGTCCGATCCAACAGACGAGCTACTGTAGCTGGTTCTGAAAGAAAGGTGTCAGAACACACAGTGCATCACAGGTGTTGGTATGGGGCTGCATTACATTATCTCTGAAATGCCCTAAAATGACATTGGTTTGATGGGATTCAGCAGGAACATTAGTCCTATTTACAGGACAGTTAATTATACTGCAATCTTAATAACTGCAGAATGTTAAATGTCATCTTAAATAAGTTTCCAGTGCTGTCAAATGACACATTACCATATGAATAGTGACATAACTATAACTCTGGGGTGGTTTGTATTATCATCTACACGCTGCCTTTTGTTCTACAGTCATATTACATAAATGGTTTCTGAACAATAGAGGCATTAAAAGGCTATAAAATATCAAGTGAATTATATCACACTTGCAAGTAATCCAACCTAATTAGCTTTTTAGTCAAACTACCACACAAACTTCAATGTAACACCACGACATTATGATTATACTTGTGAAATAAAGTGAGTAGCAGGTCAGTATCTAAAGATTGATGTTTAGTAGGTATAATCATGTTGTCAAGTCTGTGTTAGCATCAAAAATTAGCTAATCAGCACTAAAAACTAAATTAGGGGTGGGCGTGTTGTTTGTTTAGCAGGTATTTGATTATAAACCAAAGTATTGGACAAAGTGAAATGGCAGAGCTGGATGAAACATTAAACAACAGATCACCAAACCTATTTCAATCCAAAATGAACACAAATGTCTGTTCCAAATTCCTGACAATCCATCCAATAGTTGCTAAGACATTTCACTGAAACCCACAAATAGTATCCTCATGGTGGTGCTAGAGGAAGGGTCAAGGGATCACCACAGTCAGTACAATTCATCCTCAGGTGTCAATGAATGTCTTTTTTTTTTGTTGTGTCAATCTGCTTTATTGAGGCTACTGGGACATGTAGTGCAGTAATTCACTGCACCCTCTGGGCCTGAGGAGACTCCTGTGAGAGCACTCATCCCAACATCAAGAGCACAAAAGTCAATTACACAAGATCTGAATGAACTGGTTGAACAAGCACTTCATGTCAGCCATCTCCTGGTCAGCCTTTTATCTGGTATATTCGTATATATATTCGTATATTCGTAGGTCATATTGATTTGGACACAACACTGTAGTTGTTGAATGTCTTGTAGATTTTGAGGTGATCAAGGATTTACTTTTGGGCAGAAGGAGTAGGCCAGATTGTCGTCACCTGTTTTGGGTCCATCTGGATGTTAACTGCAGAGACAGTAAAACCCAGGAAGGAAGATGTGGACTTTTGAAGCCTTGGAAAAAGTTGGTTCAACAAAAACCTCTTCAAACCTCTGCAAACACAAACTTGTAAATCATATTCCTGACAATGTAATTGACCTAAGCTTTGAGGCCTGTAAGGCTAAAAGACATTTACCTGAGGTGATCATTATAATAACAATAAACTTTATTGATAGAGCACTTCTCAAAACCAGAGCTATAAGGTGCAAACATTAGAAAAACAATACAACTACAAACATAAAAGATAAAACAGTATAAGTAAACAGTATAAAACAATAAAAACTACACATAGGGCAAGGACACTCTAAAGTGCTTACAAAACAGATGAGTTTTTAGTAGCTTCTTAACTATACTTCTTATTATTAGTATTAGTATTAAAGATAATACACTTGTAATCAGACACAAAAAGTCATCAAAGCATAAAGCATTAAGGTTCAGACATAAAGTAAAAACTACATTAAGAGTATGATCTTGATTGTGGGTTGGCCTAGATGCATGTTGCATTAAGTTAAAAGATTAGGTTGTACCTAAAAACACACTGTTCAGCCAAGAGCATGTTGTCTCCACATCTCAGCCAGGTCTCAGTAGTAAACAAAAAGACCAGATTATGGGAAGCAAATAAGTCCCTTAGGATGAAAGTCTTACTGCAGACTGACCCCGCATTAATTAAAGCCATCTTAATCAGAGTGGAATGTGATGACTGTTTATGGTTGCACATAATCTGGATCAGGTTACTACCATTCACTTTTATTAGGCGTGGAAAAAGCAATGTCTGTTATTCTTTGCTGTGCACCAGGTGGTAGATGTTGATTAACTGAGCTGATGAGTAGATGTTGCGCAGATCCAGCTTGAGAGAAGATCAAT